TGAAATACTGGGTGCTCAGGATGGAAACATATCCTGCCCTGGGCAGTGGAAGGTTTTTGCCCGGTTGCTTTTGGAGGACCATTGCACTTGGACCAAACCTGGGCATGCGAAGCTGCCACATCCTCCGAGCCCCCACGTGCAGGGAAACCCACATCCCTGAGTTTGATCCATGTGGTTATGGGCCAGCACTTGCTGGGGTAACACAGACCTGGCTGTGGCTTGGTCCTGAGGGTACCTGGGGGGCAGCATGAGCACAGAGCTCCGTCCTGGCCCAGCCCTGTGCCCGCTGCTCCCTGTACCAGGGAGCTCTTCACAGGCACCAGTGTCTGTCTAATGCTTCCTGTGATTTAATAGGAAATTTCTCTTGCAGTGGCAGCTGCTGCCAATTTGTGTGGCCCTTTTTTTCTCTGACCTCAGTTAATTCTTTTTTTGTCTATTGCTGAGCGGTGCTTAAAGTTTTCCATCAGGTTTTCACAATCCAGCCTCTGTGATGCCATTTCCTAGTGCTGAGGAGACCAGCTTTGCCTCTGCCTCGTAATGTGTAAAATGCACTTGAATTCGTCACACTACTTGGTTGTTCTGCCCTTCAGCTCCCATTCCTGTCTGTGAACACCCAACTCTCCTTGGCCATGGAACAGCTGTTACGTGGTGCTGCAACCCTGGAGCCCTTCCCTGGGACTGACCTCCTGAGCTCTGCTTGGGAGCTGAGCTTGCTCTGTCTTAGTCCTTCTGTCTTCTGGGTTGTTGCATTTTTCACCCCCTTTTTTTTCACGGACAGTCCTTAAAGATGCAGGGAAGGTGCCTCTCATAGGATCGCAAAAGATTAAACAACAGTAGCCTGTGAGCTGCTGCCAGATGTTGTTCTCTTCCCCAGACTATCTCCTTGGCAGAGGTTTCCCAAACCAGTTGATTCCAGGGCTCAAGAGCGCTTTGATCTGCAGGAACACGTTTACAAAGTCTCTGGTTCTCAGCATGCAACTGTGTCCTTCATCATGTCCCGTGGGGACGGGTGCTCCCATCATGGCAGGCGATCGCTGGACCGGTGTCCCTTTCCCACTGCATCTGAGGATCAGTGAGGTGCTGTCCTTTGGTGAATCATATTTGGAGGAGGACTCTTCTTCCTGTAAGAAGAGACGTGGCTAATGGCCAGCTGAGCACGTGGAAGTCAGGGTGAGCAGTGCATGGGAATGTCCTCATCTGAAGTTCACCACCACAGGGACGTCGGGACACGTGGTGTGCCTGGCTGCCTGTGGCATTCCCCAGCTCATGAGGGATGGGGCCGATGGGGAGTTTGGGAGTGTGGGATGAGAGCAGGCTTGGCTCAGACTCATCTTTTCCCCATGGCAAGCTGCTGCCTTCTCTCAGCAGGGATGCTGTTGCTCTCACAAAGAGTCTCTTGTGATTCTGCCACCGCACTCAACCAGACTATGAAGCTTTTTGTTGAACTCTTTTTAATTTTTTTTCCCTTTGGGTGATGTCAAAAGCTGGCTTCTCTGCTCTGGATAACAGGCATGTCTGCTGGAGGCATGGATTAGGTCAGCTCTCTCTTGTTAGACCACAAAGGGGAATGTGGTTTTACGCTGAACCTCTGTCAAGCAGGCAGAGCAAATCCCGGAATCACAGGATGGGTCAGGTTGGAAGGGACCACAGAGGCTCATCTGGTCCCACCCTCCTGCTCAAGCAGGGTCATCCCAGAGCACATGGCACAGGACTGTGTCCAGATGGTTCTGGAATATCCCCAGTGAGGGAGACTCCACACCCTCTCTGGACAATCTGTTCCAGTGCTCCGTCATTGCACAGTAAAGAAGCTCTTCCTCATGTTCATATGGAACTTCCTGGGCATCAGTTCCTGCCCGTTGCCTCTTGTCTTAATAACAAATCCTCTTGATAAGAGGGGGGAACTTCCTTCACCCCATGCCTGCGACTGTGGCTCATGGCCTGGCTCTGACATCAGCTCCTGGAGTAGTGCAAGAGTGGAAGAGTTTGTTCTCCTTGCCTGGATATTTCATCACCCCCCAGCCTGTGGCAGTATAACTTGTTCAGGGATGTGAGCCACCATCCCCTGCAGAAGCTGGCACAGACTGGCTTCCTCTTCCATAGCCCTGGTACGTGCCACACAAGCCCTGATGGTCAGTGATGCAGAACCTGGGCTTTAGAGCAGCTTTGCAAATCCTCCAGTCCCCCTTCTGCCCAGGACTTGCTGCAAGAGTAATTCTGTGCCCTTCTGGTTCATTGTTCTTGGGAGAATCAGGACCTCTGTGTTCACCATTTTGCCCTGACATTTTACTTTAAACCAGATTTAAATGAAAACCTTTTTTTTTTTCCTGTAACCTCTATATTGTAGAGGGAAAACTCTTCCACTGCATTGTGGAAAGCAGAGAAGAAGCAAAGTGATGACATACCTTATTACCTACTGGCACTTGACTTGAGGTTATGATTTTTTGGCAGCAATTTCTCCAAGGTTATTCCAGCTGGGAAGTGATATGGCCTGTTGCAGGCTGTTAGACCTGGGGCCCTGCTCCTTCAGCAGACATATCCCTGGGTTTATGCCATCTGCATGGTGTAGCCCTCTGGCAACTGCACCATCAGCTCTGATTTGGGCAAAGCCCTCTGCTTCCTGGGAATACTGCTGAGCGTGTCCATTCCCCTCTCCCCGTGATCCCCTGCAGCCTGCAGCACTCTTAATTGATTCAATTAGGATATTATCTTACGAGTTTCCTGTTGATGAAGGAGCTGTCTGCCAACGTGTTGGCTGTTGACACAAAGCTGCTTTTCAAAGGCTCCCCATCCCCAGCGGTGTTATCGCCTGCCCTGTTAATGGACAGCTCGGGATGGGGACAGTGGGCTCCCACAGTGTGCACAGACCTCCGGCTCACTCCAGACACACTCACTGCCCAGACATTCCTGGGTTAATAAGAAAAACAGCTAATTGATAAGATAAATTGGTAGTGGAGATAAATGTGGATAAACATGGGCTGTCCTGATGTTCTGTTGTGGGGAGCCTGGCTGTGTACTGGATATATCACTTGGACTTCCCTGCCCCAGTCCTGGATCTGGGAGCCACAGTCTGGCAGCCTGTGATCCCCCTCCCTTTTGCCAAGGGATCATTGAAGATTGTGATATAACAACTTCCCACGTAATAAAAGCAGACCAAAATGCTTTAAACTACATCCACTCCAATCTTTTTTTGCTATTTTCTTGTCTGTCAGAAATATTTAAAAATAGTCCTGGAAGGGTAGAAACAATGGAATTATTGTTTGAGGTTCTTTCCCTTTAATTTTTCTTCCCAACCTGGCTGAGTGCATTGTTGAGAGCAAGACTTGGCCTCTCTGTGCTCTCGTGTGCTCGGCAGGGAAAGCACTGCTCTAGAGGGCTGTGTGTCTGTCTGCCTCTTGTCTACCCATCTCCCCAGGATCTTGCATGGCCCCTTCTGGGAATGTGATGTAAGCAGTGTTGTTTGGAGTTTGGATGGAAACCCTCCCGCAAAGAAGATTTGTGGGACATCTCCATGCCAACCACCCCCCTTCCACAGTTTTTGCCTGGTGGGGACTGTGTTTCCCTGCCACAGCTGGGGAGGAGGGTGTTCTCCCAGTAAACCTGCCTTGGTGCTGGAGTCTGCAGACCATCTCTTGATGCCTCTCTGTGTATCCCTCCCCCAGGCCTGGTGGAGTTGCTGCACCTTTACCCTTTTCCCATCCGTTTTTACAGAGCTGGGCCTGCTTCCCTTGGCTTTTCTGGGCAAGACCAGTGCAACAACCTGTGCTGTAGTCCCCATCCTGCAAAGTCAACAGGAGTAAGACAGGCCAGAAAAGACACAGGGGACCTCAAAACCTGGAGATCTGCCAGCTTTCTGGAGACTTTCCTTGTCTCTGGGGCATCTCTCAGGTCTGGAGCTGATATTTTCTGGTCGCAGTTTCGTGCTTTTTTGCGTGTGTGTAGGACTACAGAAGAACCATCAGCCACAGGCTGCGTTTCTGCAGATGTGTGCTCCTGTGTCTGCTATCCCAAACTGCCTGCAGTGCTTACAGCCAGTGCTGGGCTTGTTTTCTTTGGAGTGAGTGTTTTAGCTGTTCTTCCCACAGGCTCATGCGTAGGAGAACTGGTGAACTAGTATTTGCTGCTGCCTCCTCCAGAGCTGTGTGATGTGGCAGCCAGGCTGTGTGGGATCCATGGGACCGAGCCCCTGCCTTGCCACTTCCCCACCTTCTCCTCTTTCTGTATGTGCTGGAGGGTTCTCCAGACACCTCACAACCTCTTTTCCTCCCTCCAGTAAGAGAAGAGAGAGGGAGCTTGTGGCTGACAGGCATAATGGTGCCAACCCACACAGGCCCTGGTGTGGGCTCTGGTCTGGCTGGGGTGCTACTGGTGGCACTGGGCTGGGCTGGAGCAGGACAGGGGGGCTGCAATGAGGGGGTCCCCGCGCTGAGCAGCTGCTGCAAGAGGCACTTTCTGTCAAGTAAAAGGAAATGGAGATGATCTGGGCTGAAGTTCTGGATGGGTTTGGTGGGATCACATGGTTGGAACAGATCTGGCCAGAGGGTCAGCCCAGGCACGTGCTAATGGGAGAAAACACAGCTTGCACCGTTCGTGCCTTGGAGGCTCACAGTGCTCCGGGGGCGAGAGATCCTCAGCTCGAGTTCAAACAGCGGCGGGGAAAGCTTCCAGTGACTCAGGGATTGCGTTTCTTAACAGCAGTCAGATGTGCGACTTGTTTTCCTCGCCCTTCGCCTGTCACAAGCTTTCCCAAGCTCTTCCCCCCCAGGCAGAGCAGAACCAGAGGCACCTCTCCACCATAACGCAACACAGGTGTTTTATGGGGTTATCAGGGATGTGGTGTCCTCCTGTATTTTCATGGATTGATGGAAGAGCAGGTGATCTTGGCTTGCCAGGGAGGCTGGGGAAGGAGCGCTGCCCTGGGAGCCTGCAGTGCCTGGGGGAGGCAGGTCCTCCTTGGGCTCGTTTGTGGCTGCTGGTAACCTGTCTTTCATTTCCTTTTCTAGATGCAAATGCTGGACAAATTTCCGATGGAAGGAGGGCAGAAGGACCCCAAGCAAAGGATCATCCCCTTTCTGCCAGGTAGGAGAGTGGTTTTGGCATGGCAGGAGCTTTTTCCCATGGCAGGAGCCATCTGAGCAATAGCAAGTTCTTGGCCTGCACTGTGTCCATTAAAACATCTGTATTAAACTCCTCAGTATTTCTCTTTCCCTCCAGAAGTCACTAGTGGAAGACTTCAACTAAGCAACCACCCTAGCACAGCTTCTGCCACGGCACAGGGCTGAGGATGGTGTGAGGCTCCCCAGGAACTGCTCATACACTGTTTTTCCTGTCCTGTGCAACTCAAAGAGCCACCCAGAGAGAAGGAAATAACAATGGAATTCAAGCCAATTGACAGGCTTGGCTTCCTCCTGTGATGTTTGGGGCTGATTGCTCAAAGACAGGATTTCTGTGGCATGACGTGTGCCCTGTCAGCCCAACGTGCAGCTGAGCAGATGCAATGGGCCATGGCACTTTGTGGTGTGTGGGATTGCTGGTGGCTGCTGCTATGGGGAATAAAAAGAACCCTAATATGCCTTGTGAAAATAACCAGCCTGAGGGGAGTTTTTCATGCACCCATAGCTAATGGCTTTGACCACACAGTTGTCTTACCCCTACCCCCAAGTAGCTAATGAGCATATTTAGAAATGTCACAGTGCCATAATCACTTCCAGTGACTGTCAGGTCTGTTTAGTGCAGCCTTTTGTGCTGTACTTTGCCTCCTGGCTCTTCTAGAAACGTAAAGGCATTTGTGAACTTTGCTTTTCTCTGACTGGTGTGAAGAAAATAATTTACACCCCTTTTTAAAGAAGAGAATCTTGTCTGGGTTTCCCATAGAAGAGTTTCTGATTCTAGCTTGTTGTGGCATTGTAACATCAGCAAAAGCAAAGCACACCTGATGTGAATACAACAGAAAAGCCCTTGCTGTACAAGTACTCTTGCCAGCAAGGGAGAATGGAAGCCAAATTGGCAAAGGGCATAACTTGGAAAAATTGGATATATGCTTTGGCTGTGCTGCACTTGAAGAAAATTCCCACTATTTCTGCTATTTTCAGAAGGCCACGGCTTGGGAAGCCTGGTCGGAGCAGTGCTCCTTGCAGCACGCTCGTCAATTCTTGTTTCTCCTTCTTGGTGTTGAAATAGTTTCCCTTTGCTGGGAAACATGTCACTGGGATTTCCACTGGAGGAAAAAGGGGGTTGAAGTTGCTGGAAAAGAAAGCCTGGCTCTTGTGTAAGCAAGCAGTTTTGGGGAGTTATGATGACCTTCTTCTAGAGAAGCGCGTGGATTTGTGTGTGTCCTCTGCAGAGATATTTGCCCTTTTGCTTTTGTTCCCTTTCTGAAACAGGCTTAAATAATATCATTTCAGAGGGAGTCACATGTTGACTTGGAAAACTGCTAGTCCATGCTTCTCCCAGAAATATTTCTTGGCATTTCATTTTTGCTGTGGCTTGTGATGGCTCGGGAGGCTATTGATGCCTGACAGCTGGTACCTGCAGCTTTACCACGAGTGCTTTGAGGTGCCAGCACAGGATAAAGAGTGGTGTGGTGTGAAGATTCCAGCATGGGATGCTGTCCCACCTCCAAGTAGGAGGTAGCCACTGCAAATCTTGCACCTTGCCTGTCCTCATGGGACAACTTCAGAAGTCCTCTTGCTTGAGGGAAGTTATGGTATTAGAAGTGGGAATTATGTCACCTTTGCCCTCCTGCCTTTGCTGCTCATTATGGAGTGATCAGGAGCTGGTGGCTTTTCTTGGAGGTGGACAGTGAGCCATAACCTCCCTAGTGAGATGGCCTGCAAACTCTATCTGCTTATGAAAGAGGACTTTACTTGGGAGTAAGGCCCTTTTAATAGTTGCTGGATATGTTAGAGCGTTTCCTCTACTGAGCAGCTCTTTGCCTTCCCAGTTTGGGATGACAAGTTTTGCTACTTACAGCTGAACCCAAACTTCGTCTCTCTCAGCCTAGAGGTGCTGTCCAGGTAAGCTCAGTGCCAACAGTCTGGGTCTGTTTCTCTGCAATACGTGGTTCTAGTGTGCTTAGACTTGCTGGGGTTTGATTGTGTTCAGCTTCTGTTAGTACTGTAGTTTGCTCCCAGTCCCATTTTGAGCAACATTTTTAGCATCTGAATTTCATTACCAGGGGAGATTTGGCTCCAGTGGTTTACTGCAAGTACGCTGCTTTCTGAGAAGTCTGTTGTAGAGCAACATTAGACATCGTGGCCACTGCAGTTCTCAAAAATGTCTCCTGTGACCCTGTGCCTCCAGAATAGCTCTGACTTTCTTAGCAAACCCTGAAGCCCCCTAAACCCAGGGTCACCACCACAACCTGACAAGGTGCCATCTGGGTTTGTCTGTCAGGCTGGTTTCCTGGAATGGGAAGAGTGTTCCATGATTACTCCATAGTTACAACACCCAGCCCACAGGAACTCTGTTTGCTTTGTGTTACTTCGTTTTGTTAATGCCTGCTTTGAGGGTTCAACTTATGGGAAATTTCTACAGACTTTGGTCTTTCAAAGTAGATCTTTGATAGTATTCAGAAGAGGCTTTTGTAAGTGCAAGTCCTTCAGCCCACTCAGGTCTTCTGAAGTGGAGTCATAAAGGTGGGTCCTCTAAAGTGGAGTAGATCAATTACACTTGAAGTTTGGGGCCAGGGCTTGTCCCTTGCTGGGTGGTGGCACCACACTCATCCCGTAGCTCAGCTTGGTGGGATCTGGTATTGCCTGGTGGGACGTTGCAGTGCTGCTGCACTGTGCCTGAAAAGCTCTGCTGCCACAAAGGGGAATTTGAAGTGGACTCTTGGATCCTTCAGCTGGCTCCGAGCCACTGGCACAGCCTGCTCAGCTTCATGTGGTGCTGGGATGGCTCCTTGGAACAGCTCTGGCAGCACCCAGCCCTTGCATGGCATCGACTCTGCTCCCTGGAGCAGAGTTGGGAACAGCTGGTGGGAGAGCAGAGACCTGTCACTGCCCAGCTGGGGAATGTCCTCGCCCGCAGGAGTCCACACCAAGGGTTACACACTTGTTGGCTGGGAGATGACGGTATGGAGACCCCAGGAAAGAATGAACTAAGAAAACAAATGAGCTCAGTTGGGCCTGCTGTGTAAGGGCTGTGCCAGATCTTTCAGGAAACAGCTTTTATAAGGAGAGTGGAGCCTTCCAAACTCTGTACAGCCCCACTGGCCTGGAGCAGATCCTGGCCAGTCTGCTTCACTGGAAACGTGAGCCTCGGCAAGGAGGGGTTGCCTGAGGCTGAGCTAACCTTGGCTGTAAAATTGCTTTTTAGGAAGCTTTAGCTACAGACAATAGTGAACTCCCAAGAAGGGAGGAAGAGAAAGGGGGGTTTGGTGAGATCATTTTAGAAAGAAGAATTGTACCTTCTTTCTACTCCTTTCCCAACCCACCAGCCTGCTCGATATGGGCATCAGTGCCACCCACAAACTTTGGGGCTTTTTTCCTAGAACAACTGTGGGGATGCTCATAGCTCCCCACAAAGGCCCTGTGAAGGAGGTGGAGGACAGCTCATCTGTTTTCTAGCTATGGTGCCTGACTTGCCCCAGTCCTGTTCCATCTTCATCTGAGCTGGAGATGGCATCCTAATTGCTACTTTCTGCTCTAGTAAGATGGACATCTCTCCTGTAGCATGGTTGGGTGGACAGTCCCAGGCTGTCTTGCAACCCCTGTGCAGGACTTGGCCAAGCAGATGTAAGGGTAGGACTCCTGGAAACACTGCCTGATCCCCCATCCCAGGAATAGCCCACGTAGCTGGCTGCTCCATGGGCTGGGATTAATTATGTGTACATTTGGAGCTGCCTTTTTTTGAAGTGAGTTTGGAACCTGTGCCAGGGAAAATCTGGATGTGATTTGAAAGGTGCAGAGAAGTGAATTCTTTCCGAGGCAGTGGGGCGGGGGCAGAGGGGGGGGAGTCCTTCAGGGTAAAGCAAGAGGCACAGCTGGTTTTCCACTCTTGAAATATCTGGCTGGGTTCACAGCCATGGTGGGCAGGGTGATGTGTTTCAGGTTCTCTGCCCCTCCAGCTTGCTGGAGATCCAGTAACAGCCTTTGGCTCAAGAGAGGTCTCCACCATTTTCGTTGTTGAAGTCCCTCTGCCTTGTGTTTTTTGGCTCCTTGCTCCCCATTTTAACTTCTGCTCTTCATGAAGAATTCCCACAGGAGGGAATAATTTGCAGAGCCCTGTTTCCCTGTTTGTTTGTTTGGAGAGATTAACCCCTCCTGTGGCCTGCCTGCTCTATCTCACACTGCTGGAGACACAAATTCCTTATCAGCCCTTTCCCCAGGCTTTCCTGGCACTTTCCAGTCCTGATGAAGGGCTGGGGCAGCAGGGGCCACACTACATTTCTTTGCAGCCCCCTCCCCCCCTTTAGAGCTGCTTCAGCACCATTTGCTTTGATTAGCCATAGAGGAGTTTGGTTCCTCCAGTCCTGGGAGAATGGAACCTTTCTGGCACCAGAGGAGTTTTCACGGCCAGACAGAATATTTCTAGCAGAGCGTCTCTTTTTCTTTGTAGGTATAAACAGATTTTTAAGATCCAGCAAAAGCAGGCATAACGTCCTGGAGTCTGGGTGCTTGCACAGGGAAATGTGCCAGGGCAGCCATTCTGTATTAGTGCCTTATCTCAGCCCTCTGTTTCCAAAATCAACTTGCTTGACACATTCCCAGGTGATAAATGTTCAGTCCACTCACAGCTTTGTTTGTATGTATAAAGGACAGTGTATTTTACCACACTTCTTTTGCAATGACTTTCTTGTGCTAGCAGGGCTGGAGGAGACTCACTGCTCTGATTGCTCATGCATAACATTATGTATGTAAAAAAAAAATCTAATCATCTCTGAGTCCTGGATTTGTGACAAGAGTGAGAAGCTGGTGGAGTCTGCAGCAGCACTGACCTTTCAGGCTGATGGAAAGCTCCACTATCAGCAGGATGTGCAGAGTTGCCTCCCCTCACATGTCTTCCCCTTGGTATTCCTCGTGCTGATGTTGAGGTTGAGGCAGGAGCACTGCTGGGAGGCTGTTAGGAGGAAAGTGAGTCTCTGAGGATGTTAGAAACATGCAATGACAGAATGATTTGGGTTGGAAGGGACCTTAAAGATCATCTCATTCCAACCTCTTGCCATGGTCAGGGACACTTTCCATTAGACCATGTTGCTCAGAGCTCCATCCAACCTGGCCTTGAACACTTCCAGGGATGGGGCAGCCACAGCTACTTCTGGAGCTACAGTGCTAAGTGTTGCAGAGACCAAATGAATAATGCAATGTGTTTCTCTTGTGTTATATAGTCCTTGGCTATGTGAAAAGCCCTGGTGGACAGCACTGTTATTCCCATTTTTAGGTATGGTCTAAGGAAAACATGCCCAGGAAAATGTTGCATCTCACTGACCCAGCAAGTTGCCCATTTTTCCCTTCCAGGAGGGAAGTGGTTTCCTGTGCTCTCTTGCCTTTCAAGTTGAGGATTTATACAGCTGTATTTGGCAGCATTGAAGGGTCTGCAATTATGTTAATTAGGCATTTTGATTAAAATCAGCTTTTTGTTAGAAAATAAACTTCCTTGTTGAAAAATACTAGATTGAGAGCAAATGAAGAGAGGAGCTGGATTTCCTGCTGGTTCATATGCTCCATGCCTGGGCTAATTTAAGATCACTTCAGTTGTGGTGATGTATTTATTCCCCAAACCTATATTATTTTTATTATTATTATTCACTAGCATATGTTTGTTAAACATTTAAATATTCCCACACCCAGAACTTATTTTTTCAGACATTTATAACATACCCACCCATCAGTGATTTCATTTTGGCAGACATAAAATCAAAACAGCTATTCCTTACTACTGCCAACAGAACTAGTGTGATCCATTCATCTTTTTTAAAATCATCATTCAAATAGAATCCTCTGCAGCAAATATGCTGTGATTGCTGATGGAAAGAGAAAACTGTTGATCATTTGCTTGTCTGATGGAAAATAATTGCTAAGGGCAATGAATGGAGCTCTGACCTGGTTGTTGTTCCCAGTCTTTCCAGACAAATTCTGTGTTCCCAGGCTATTCACCCTCAAAATCTAAAAGACAGATTGAATAGAGGGGTGATTTTTTTCACTGTATCATAAGAACTGCCAGACTTGGCTCTCGCAGGCTTTGAGAAGGAATGCACTTCAGAGCAGAGCATTTCCCACCATGAATGTCTCAGCCCCTCGCTGTCAACAGGACATAAATGAGGAGCAATCCTTCTGGTATGAGTTGGTCTGACCCCATGCCTGTCACTGGAGGGCAAGGACAGACCTAGCACTGAGTACGTTTGCTGTGTGCTCCCTTGGACAGTCCAGTTTCAAAGGCATTCTGCATTAACTGAGCCTAGCAGGAGACTTGGCTCCTCCATAAAGTTCTTGTTCGTTTTCTTTGCCAGCTGAAGTTGGGTTGGCTTAGTTCATCTCTGCTTAAAAAATGCATTGGCAGGCTGCACAAGTCATGCGTGGTTCAGATCCTGGCCAAGTCAGGGAGAAGCAGAGGAGGGTCACCCAGCCTTGGATTTAAAATTGCGATAAGCATGTGGCCATTTTCCCATGTCCTGTTCTTGGGTAGCTTGGTAAGATCCAGCTTCTGGCTTGAGCAGTGCCACAGCTCCTGTGAAGACTCACAGTAAGGGCTGAAGCCATGGTGTGACTCTCCAGAGTGCTTTTCCCTGTTCTCATGTTGCTTGCAAAGAGGGTGTGCTGGTATTTGGTTATGATGGGAGTTTGGGTTCTGGTTTGCCCCTTGGTGGCCTCTTTGATACGTGAAGGGGTTGCATGGATGGGCACGTTGCTTTCCCTACATTCAGGGGTGGGATTGGAAACCCAAGCAGGGACAAAAAGAGATGAGAGTTTCCTGTGATATTGGAGAACTGTCAGGAAGAACTTGAGGGAACTCCATTACCACCCATCTTCCCAAAAAGGAGTTTTCCAGGTGATTGTGTTGCAAAGCAGTGCCAGTTCCTGGTGCTCTGGGAAGTGGTCTGAAATCCTACCACATACCAAGCCTTTTGATCTCGAGTCTCTACCTGTATCTGTTTCACTGTCTGCTCATGGCTTTTGTCTCCTTAAATGCCTAAGAATCTGTTCCCTCTGAGAGCAGCTTGAAGCATTTAGGACTCATTAGACTTCAAAGGAAAGAGGCCCGTACCACAAGCCAGAGGGAAGGAAACAGAGTGGCAAGAGGATCCCATTAATGGAGAACAAAAATAAACCCCAGACAGGAAGGAAAATTCTATAGGTCTGACTCAGAGCTGCAGTCCCGACACAGTGGCTTTGACGACCAGTTTGTCACAGGAGTGACACAGAGAGAAACCCTCTGGTTTGGCTGCTGCCCACACTAGACCTGGATGCCCTGAGCAAGCTGGGAGCCTTCAGCAAGGGTCCCACCTGCACTGGTAGCTGCAGGGATGTCATTTGCCAGGAATATTGTCCTCCCAGTACTTGCACGCCAGCAAGCTGTGAGGTATCAGGCATGTGCTTGGATGAGAGCTGCTCCTCCATCATCACCACACTGGCAAGAGACCATGGGGATGCAGTTTGCTGGTAATTGTTTCCTCCTCTCTCTCCTTGAACATGCTTGCCACTTTAAATGTGCTTCATTCTGACAAGGTGTTTAATCTATGGGAGGGAATAGGCTTTTTTTTTTTGAGCTACGGTGCTTTTGTCAAGAAGAGGACACACAGGAAAGAGGTCCTGACAGAGTGATTCAAGAGAGTTGTTCGTGGGTGTTGTGCTGACCTGCTCTTCTCTCTCCATCTCTCCTGTTTCAGGGAAGATCCTCTTCCGCCGGAGTCACATCCGTGATGTTGCAGTCAAGCGCCTGATACCTATTGATGAATATTGCAAGGTAAGGGCAGGTTTCTTACATCCACCAGAGATGAACCCAACCTGATCGAGCTCAATCCTGATTGACTGATACTATATAATGGTGTGCCAGTGCTGGGAGAACAGGGAGTGTGGGTTATCCACTGCTATCAAACCCTTCCTTTGATGAAAACCCACATGAAAACATTCACTTTTCACTCCTCATGAAATGCAGAGGGCTTGGACATGCTGCTGGGCTTTCCCTTTGTCTTCTCCTTTCCTAAGATGTGTTGGTATTTGTCTGGTATAAACCAGAACCAGCTTTCCAGATGGGATGGAAAGGACCTGGCTGTGTCCTGTCTGGTACAGGTGGTTTGAAGCGAAATTCTTGTGCGCAGGACTAGGCTTGTAGGACTCAGTTCCTCAGGGAGCCTTTCCCATCTATTTGGAACATACCTCCTGTTTTATGTAGAAGACAGCACTTTCTTGGTGGGATGGTTCCAAACTGGGGTGTAAACTCCTGTTACTGGTTGCATAAACCAGTTATTTATGCAGGAGTGAGATGAGTTGTACCTGAAGAAAATTATTGGAAGCCAACAGAGATAAGGCTGAGACGATTTGTTCCATACTCTTGAAGAATATAAAACTGGACTTAAATTTAAGGGAAATTGTGTTTTTAGGGCATTTTTTTTGGTGGGGGGAAACAAAATACCAAAGTCCATAAAAAATTATTTTTCCACAAATAAAGTATGCCAGATCTCATCATGCCGAAGAAGGACATTAGTACTTGCAGCAGCTATGAAATGGCCTGAAGGCAGGACTGGTACCTCCAAAATCCAGTCTGAATGCTGTTGAAAACATATGCAAAGACTGCAAAACCTAAGGGAGGAGATGAGAAAATGGTGAAATATCCATTGCATTCCTTAGACACAGGAGGTGTGGAAGTGACTGTGTCCTGGGACTTTGCATGGTGGGAGAGGCTGTGGGTTTTGGGACTTGGCCAGACCTATGGAAGGGATTTCGTGGCTGGAATAACAAGTACAAGGATAAAGGTGAATTAGTAAATGCATCTTGACAGCTCTGCAGTGGGGCTGCAGATGAAAAAACACTGCAGGCCAGGAGAGCAGGTGAGAGCGGAGTGATGGAGATGTACAAGGTGTGCTTGGAGCTGTCGAGGGGGAAGCTGATGGTGCAAGTAACTGCTTGATTCCATCCAGGCATGATCAGCCCCTTGTCTTGTGAGTCACTGAAATGTGTCAGCTGCATAGAGACGCACACAACCGTAAATTTAATTTTTGGGAAGAAAAAGTCCCTAAGTGATAAGATGCTGCTGCTGACTCTTTCAGAACAATGCCATTAATGGCATAAAATATAATGAATCCATTTGACTTAACAACTGGAACATAATGGCTGATGTTATATGACCCACTTAGGGAGCTGGGCTCTCCTCCTCCCGTTAATGCATTACCAAGGAATACTGTGCTCGCCGTGGCCTTCCAGTTGCTGCTGCTTAACCGTAAAGCAGCTGAGCTGAGGGTGGGTGTGGGACCAAGGAAAGGCTGCAGAGATGCAGAATGAGCAAGGAATTATCAGGAGCAGGAAGATGTCCCTGCTTGGGCACGTCATGCTGCAGATCGCAGGGGCAGTGTCCCAGTCCCTTGCTGCCATGTCTGTCGTTGGAGGTGGATGTTGCTCTTGCTTGGAGGGTGGTGGCACAGAACAGAAATACAAAATGTCTCCTCCAGCTTTAGCCCTGCTGAGGGAGAGTTGAGGCTCAGGTGCATATGTTGAGAACATGTTCCCACAGAAAAAATTTTTGCTTTGTTGCCATCTGCTGCCAGGGAAGTAGAGTGTCTTTGTTCCCTGGGAGAGCCCTGGACAGGTGGGTGAAATCTGAGGTAGAAGCAGGGAAAAGGAGCAAGAGAGAGAACCATTGATTCCCAAGGCAGTGTTTTTGCTGGAGGGCTCTGTTTCAGGTCCCACCATACTAAAAGTTGTGCAATTTAAGATAAGGTGCAGGAAAAGCAGCAAAAGAATCAGAGCAACTGGTAAGAGCAGTCATTTGCTAAATGAGACTTCAAACAACCATAGGAATAACAAGGAGGGGGACTGAGGGTCTGTCCCATTTCTCCGGTTTGTTCTCTTTGTGTTCTACATCTATTGGTCTTTTTCCTGGTGTGGGAACTGCCTTCCTTCTGTCTCAAGGATTTTGAGAAAGTGTTATTGGAGAGTTCAGGAAGGAGCTGCAATGCTGTGGTGCTCTACCCCAAAGAGACAGGGTGGACCACTAAAAATATCACTGCCAGAGAATAATCTTTTCTCACTCCCTGGAAAATGGATTGCGATGCAACAAGGATTTTCTGTCTTTGGTCAGTAGCCTTTCTCCTCAGGCTTGCAGGCAACAGTGTGGGTGAGGTGACTTGCTGTGCCTCCAACACCATGGACTGAAGCCACGTTCTGATGGCCCTCCATAGTTCACTCCTTTGGGTGGCAGAGCCAGAGGTGGGACAGACATCATGCTATTTGTGCCACTGATTTAGTGGCCGTAGCTGCTGTAGACCATGGCCAGGTGGATTGCAGGGTGGCCTGCTTGACTCAGCCACCACTGTACCAGCAGAGTCAGCTCTGGGTGGGCTTCCTTCAGAATGTCCTAGGAAACAAGATATGGGTCTTGTCTTTCCTCCTTCCAGCACAAGGTGTTTTCTGTGATAATCCCCTGCTTTCAGAGGACATGGAGCTTTCTCTAGGCCACAAAATCGGAGTGATTTTGGCGTGGGAGAATTGCATAGATCATGGGATGCTGGAACTGGGGAGTGGTACCATGTGGGAATGGCAAGTGATACCACATGGGAATGGCATCCATGCAAAACTTGATCTTTGAATAGCCCTTCCCTGGACCCAAAAGCCGTGGAGTGAGTAGTTTTCTCTCTCCTGTCTCTCACATGATCTTGTTCGCATCTGGCCCGTGATTAGTGGTCTGACTGTCTGCTGTGCTGGCAGTGAGTGACTGTCTGCTGAATGGCTGGAAGGGCTTTTAGGGGCCAGCAGTTAGGTCAATATGTAGCCACATCTGATCTGTGTGGTAACCCTGGGGCTTTGCAGATGTGGCTTCGTCTCCAATGCAGCAATGAGTGGAGGTTTGGTTGCCCACACTGCTGTCACGAGACTGCTGTGACAGCACGTAGAGGGGAGTGGGAATTATACAGAAAATTGGTTAAACATCTGCTCCAGTTTGGGCTGCAGCACTGCTCCCTGATTTCAAATGGTCCCTATTTTAATTGCATTAGGTTCTTTTACTTATTGCAGTTGCCATCACCTGTGACTCCATTCCCTTGCACGAGCAGAGGGCAGGCAGGGCTCTCTGCCAGGCAGCTGCCGTCCTGCAAAGCCCTCATTGCAGCCCACGTTGGAAAGGACCTGCAAGAGCTCTGGCCAAGGCAAATATTGCTGCCCCAACCTCTGCCCCCAGCCCCCCCAGCCAGACCCACTTTCATTCTGCAAGTCCCACTGTTGAATCTTTTTTGCAACAGGCTTCCTCAGAGGGAAAGGAGAAAAGTAGAGGCAGTTTGTATCTCCTGCCATTCCACAGCAGCATAGTGGCCTTCCAGCCCTTGCCCTGATGAGCTGGTGTCCGTGCTTTTGCCTCCTGTTGCTCCTCTCCCTGCCTCTTCCCAAGCTGCCATTGCCCAGCGGAGCATTTTTGGGATGTGCTGGTCAGGGCTGATGGCACTAGGAGTTTGCCACATGTAAACTGCCCAGCCTTTCCCAAGGATAACAGCTCCATGCCCCCAGCATGGCTGGGAAACTGAGCTCTGCCACGGTCAGAAGGCTGGATGCCAGGATGGACATCCCTGTGGCTCTTACCCTGCAAGGGAACATCTGCCCCAAAGGCTGGAGCTGGGCTAGGCAGGGCCTGAGCAGTCTCTGCTTATTCTCCTTTAGTCTTGCGTGTGGTGAGTGTAACTGAGGGGGCTCCCTGGGTCTTGCTCCACTTTGGTGTGTGTTTGCTGTAGCTCTCCCCAGCCTGGATCTGTGCTCCTGTGTGCAGGAACCATGTGAGTGCCAAGCTGGATGCCATGTCCCAGGCCCCTGTGCTCCGAGGGCCTGTCCTCACCCAGCCTCTTGCACAGCCTTGATGCTTCCCATCACTGTTGTCTCTGTTTCCTCCTCAGGCTCTGATCCAGCTGCCTCCCTACATCTCCCAGTGTGAGGAGGTTCTCCAATTCTTTGAGACGCGACCTGATGACTTGACACCCCCCAAAGAGTAAGTTGGTTGGGCAGCTGCTACCTCTGGGATGGTGAGGAAACACAAACTGCCTTGAACTTGTTGATATCTGTGAGTCTGACGTTCATCAGCTATTCCCCCACAAGTCACAGATCTGGGATTAGGAGACTTTCTTGGAGAGGGAGCATGGGCTGTGCAGCTCAAGGTGGACACCTCTGACCAGTCAGACAACTCCTGTCTTAGCCTTCTCCAGTGGGGAAGTGGAAACACTTCTCTGGGACCCCATGAAGTGCTGGTCTCCTCCTGAGCCACTTCCTACCTGCAAGTACCTGTTTCAGAAACATGGTCAATCTGAAAAGCCTCATTTCACATGGTTACTAAGAACCTCTGCCTCGTTTGAAGGGCTCTTTCCCTTAGCCAGGTCCACGAGCCCCATCCATATCAACGCTCCGGAGCCTTTCCATGCAAACCGAGGAACATTTGCAGGGAATTTTGCGTCCCTTACGCAACTCTGTGTGGTTATAAGTCTTGTGACTATGAGCTGCTTTGGCCAGGAGCCACCCATCTCTTACTAATCACAAGCAGCATAAATCTGAGCAGCCGCCTCCATCTCCTGCTATGCTGCTCTCTTTTTATGCTGCATGTGACACAGTGCATGGCTCTACCAGGGCTTGAGCAATGGAGGAGGCCTGATTAATTGTGAGAGAAAAGGCAGTAAATTGATTTGACAGCACTCTGTATTGGAAGGGTGTGGAGGTAGATAAAGGCATTTTGTTTTTGTCTTCTGAGGAGTGACTGAGCCTGTCAGGTCTCCAGCTAAGTATCATGCTTGTGTGGACTGTATCTTCTCTCTGGGTTTTTGATTATTTTTGTTCTTTCTCACAATTCCCCCTTCCCCCACCTCTACTTTCCTCCTTTGGCTCCTGTTACTATTTGCCTGGCCTGTCATCATTCCTCCTGCAGCTCGTGGTCACTGATGAGATTGGTCTGAGGGCCCCAGAGCCCATTAACTAATTGCTTGCTGTCAGCTGACGCCATCATCCATCCTGCCCAGCCATTGCTGACCACTTAACCTTCCACCCCATTGGTCATTCCTCAGGGAAGGCGTCACCTCAGGGACAAGCGAGAGACACAGGAGAAAGATGAGTTTGCCAAGGACATCGGGGGGAGGGTATCATGGGGGTTAACAGCCCCTGGGGCTGTTTTGGGATGTGGGGTGCTGCCTGTGCATGGGTCTTTGAGCCCTGAGTGAGGGTGGTGAGCTGCTTTGCAATAGGAGTCAGCTTTGGAACCTGCCTGTAGCTGAGGCACCTTCATCCATAGTGGAATGAAGGGCTGCTTCAGTTTTGCACCCACTTTCCTCACCTTTATTTTGTCTAATAGGCTGAGCCAGAAACCAGGCAGGGTGTGGGCTGTGGCCAGAACAAGGAGCATATTCCAGTGTGGAGGGAGATGTATGGGTGCTGAGCAGCAGCCCCAGAGTGGTGCAGCTCTGTGCCTGGCTGTGTTTGAAGCTGTAGCTTCCAGCCCTCCGTCCTTGCAGCAATCATGCCATGTCCCTCATCACCTCCCTGGTTTGGGTCTGAGAAACAAGGGGAACCAGATGCAACAGCCCGAAACCAAATCCCAAGCACATGCTTGGGTTGTGGGATCCATCCTCAGGGACATCCCACAGCATCCTGTAGCACCACTTGGCAGCTCCTGGGTGCAGAACTACTCTGTGTTGTGTGAGTGTTTGGCCTTTGCAGTTCTGGGTGGGTGAGCAGGTGATGCACCACTGAATCCAGTGGTAGTCATGCCTCCCCCTTGCATGCTCCTCTCCAGGGAGGGCAGGCAAGCTTGCAGCACACAGAAGGACTTACTGGGTGGCTCTTTTCCGTCTGCCTCCAGCAGCAAAATGCTACAGCATCTCAAGGACATCTCTATTGTGTTCCCCATCCCATTCTGAATGCCAGAGGGGTATTTATTAGCTACAATACAAAATGCTAATTAATAAAAGTCCTTGACTCTCTCTCCTCTGGAGAGATTGGTGGGAGCTTGTTCCTGAGCCCCGAGTGCTGGCAGGTCGCCAGGTTACCAATAACGAGATGGGAGCTGTGATAGACGGCTGGGCTGGATCAGACGTGATGGCGTGTCTGGGGTTTGGCCGGATGTCATCATTCATCCAGCAGATAAATACTTTTCTCCGGGAATTTGAAAGAGAGCCAGGCCATGAACGGAGTGGGAAAAAAAAAAAAAAAAAAAAAAAGGGAAGATTTTTATGTTGGGTGGTTGAAAGGCGGGAATGAGGGAGGGTAAAAGGACTGGTCAGCACGCTCGGTGCCAAGCCAAGCAGCCACTCTCAGGGCTCTCAGGGCTCCGTGGGTGGGAGCCTTCCTGCTCTCTGTCCTCTCCCTTGGCTTCCCTGGTTGACACCTCTGGTCCCAGCATGCCCACAAGAGTGGCAGCTGGTGGCACTGAAGGGGATGTGCCTTTGAGTGCTGATGGATGTGCCTTTGAATGCTCTTTTGTCTGGGATGCAGATGAGGGTCCCCCTAACTTGCATCACCCCAGGATGTCAAACCCCTTTCAGGGGCCACAGCTGACTGCAGTCTGTGGAGCTCCGATTTAGCTGCAAAGGGTGAATTTAGTCCTTGGATCTGGCAGTGTCTGGGAAAGGAAAGAGGAGGTTGGACAGCCCATGCATTTGTCTCCAGGCCCCTGTGGTGTCTGCTTTCCCCAGCACTGGAGCTCTCTCTGGGCCAAGCCAGGGCTCTCTGCTTTCCTGCAGTGCAGCTCCCTTCAGTGTCCCTGTGCTGGTGTTGGGAGCACCAACACAAACAGGTCACTGCTGGATCCCATCCCTGTAAGCTGAGTTCCTCAGCCCTTCTCAATCTCTTGCCTGCTCTGCAAGCTCCAGCCTGTCCTGTGGAGAGGGAAAGGGTCAAATACTGACTTTGTGCCTCCTTCTTCCACCATCACTTCCAGTTGTGTGGGACATTACAGCCAAAAGTGGAGTTAAGACAGGAGTCTCCAGCAGTTGGAGGGTGGAAGAGGGAGGTGAAGCCCTTCCTCTATCCCCTCTTTCCTCATCCCCAACTTTCCTGTGTACTCCTGCCCGGACAGACCACTTCAAACAGGAAAGCAGACGGAGATTGCAGTTTTTCCACTGGCAGTGACAACTGGTGGCTTTTGTGATGTGGATCCCTGTCCAGCAAGCTCTGGACTGGGATAACTCAACAGCTTCTGCCCAGTGGTTTGTCAGTGAGGCTGAATTTGGAGGAAATTTGGAAGAGCTGACTCTACTGAGCAATGCAAAGGGGGCAGGGGAAGAAGGAAAAGAGAAATGGTTATGGAAAAAGAAATCTCCAGAAAGTTGCAGTCTGGGGGGATGTGGGATTTTTCTCCTCAGTGTTGGATGGAATCCCTATATTTTCAAAGAAGAGGAGTCATCAAATTCCTGCTCCCCACATATCTCAGCAGGTCTGACCAGCAGCAGGATGTCCGGCTGTTGAGGTGGGAAGTTGCTGTGCATACCCCCCTTACCTCCCACCCACCCTTTTTCAATTTGAAGCTGTTTTTAACCGCAGCAGAGAGTTTCTGGAATAAGGCTGGGGAAGTCTGAATGGCTGGGCACAAAGCCACTGCTGAGTCAAGGCATTCAGCTGCTCGCTCTCCTCGCCAGCTGAATTTCGGCTGTGCAACATGAGGGAGCCCAGGTTAACTCTGTAGTAAACAATACAATAGTAGTTATTAATAAGTTATTAATATTCCTGAGTAGTTATTTAACCATTCCCCACAGTTACAAGTGGGATTTGGTGGGGAAGGAGCCGTCTTGGTGGAGCTTCCCAGAGGCTGGTGACAGGAGAAACCTCTCGAATTTAAAGCATCTTTCATTATTTTCTTTTTGGTAGTTGAGCAGCCCATCAGGTATAAGACACCTTAAGTTACTGGTTTGAACCTTTTGGATTGTGAACCCTTTTTTTTTTTTCCAGTGAGGGCACAAGCACAGCTTTTAAAAACTATTTTCTTCCTTTATATATGCCTGGGTATCCTCTGAGCTCACATCCACAACTCGCCTTCCTGCTCTTTCTGCCAAACAGCCCGTGGCTGGAGGGAGAGGATTTTGGGGCGTTTCAAGGGCAGTTCAGCTCTGCTGCTGTGTATGTTTTCTTTGCTGGGGTGGAGGACCAAGTGCAGAGGGAGTAACCCTGCTCCTCCCTGCCAGGGAAAGCATCACTGGAGGGAGCAGGGGATGGGCAGGACCCAGGGTTCAGCTGAATCCCAGCTGCTGCTGAATCAGCAAAGGGCTCTCAGTGCCGGGGGCTGCCTGTGCCATCCGGGCTGGAAGGTGCCTGGAAATGAGGTGAGAGCTGACCAGATGAGGAAAGGGTGTGCTGCTAATGAGGTTATTCCTGCAGCAGCCTCACTTACTCTGTCAGTAACCCCTTGAAGCCCTGGTGCTGTGCAGTGATGTGGGGGTGGCACTGGCAGTCACAGTAGTAGATTGCTTCCCACATGGAGACTGACAGGGAATCCAGGCAGGCACCAACCCCAATAAATCAGGGAAGGGAGAACTGGGCTAAAATGAGTCTCAGGCCTGATTTGATCTGATTGGGCCAACTTGTCTCTCGTAGGGGGAAGGACATTGATCTGTTGGAGCTAGTCCAGAGGAAACCACCAAGATGTTTAGACGGATAGAGCACCTCTCCTACGAGGAAAGGCTGAGAGAACTGTGTTTGTTCAGCCTGGAAAAGAGAAGGAAGGCTTCAGGCTGACCTAATTGTGGCCTCCCAGTACCTGAAGGGAACCTACAAGAAAGAGGGAGAGGGACTTTTTACAAGGGCCTGGAATGACAGGACAAGGGGGAATGGCTTCAAACTGACAGAGAGTAGGTTTAGATTGGATATTAGGAAGAAGTTTTTTCCTGTGAGGGTGGTGAGGCCCTGGCACAGGTTGCCCAGAGAAGCTGTGGCTGCCCCATCCCTGGAAGTGTTCAAGGCCAGGTTGGATGGGGCTTGGAGCAACCTGGTCTAGTGGAAGGTGTCCCTGCCCATGGCAGAGGGTTGGAATGAGATGATCCTTAAGGTCCCTTCCAACCCAAACCATTTTGTGATTCTATGAATGGTCCTGCTCAGGACCATAGTACTGGCAGCCATTGTGGGTAAAAGCTTTGTGTTTGGTCCAAAGTGTCAGAAGAGGATGATTGACAAAAGCATATTTCCATCATTAAAACAGGGAGAAAATCTGTTCCTTTCCCTCGTTTCCATAAATTGGAAGTGCAGACTTGTAGCCAGTATCTTCCTTAAGCAAATGTCTTTTCTTCCTGCTTCCCCGTAGCTTTTTGTGTGCTTACTTCTCCTTGTAGTTGAGCTGTGCCAGGAGCAAAAGTTTTCCTTGTCACCTTTGTGTGGTGTTTGGGGAACAAAAGGGGCATGAACTAGAAAAAGGGGGGGGAGGCTCAGGTCCCTACTCCAGGATGGAGTGACTGCCCCATGGAGGAAGCCATTCCAGGAGCTTTTGCTGGTCAACTAGAGATCCATGCATTGATGGCTTTTGGTTTGGATACTTGCTGGCTTGTGGCTTTTGGGTCGTGCCCTGCTATCCAGACAAATTACAGCTTGTGTACTGAACTGCTTGTTTCACAGTTCTCCTGATGCCTACGTGCAGATTCACCAGGATCTCAGCTCCAAAATAGCCATCTCCTTCCCTTTCTGCTGAGAACTATCTTTCCTAGATGACAACAGACAGAAATACCAGAGGGGTTGAATCCATTCTGCAAAAATACGCTTTGTGCCAGTTGCATGGGCAGAGCATTTGGGTTTCTGTGCTAACAGAGCAGGTTTCTGAGCCTGAGGGCTCAGCTTGGCTGATTCTCCAGTGGTTAAACACAGGGGCAGCCCTGGCACTGGAGTGTGGGGACAGGGGCTCCATTCAGAGCTCACTGGAGCGTTTGCTAAACATCAGTTCTCCCAAACAAGAGCTCTGTTGTACCCCCATTTCTCAGTCTCTCTTGCCTGCATAAATTTTTCTAATATCTCCAAGCTTGCTGAATACTTAGAAGATGAACTACCTCCTGACAGCTATTTTGGTGACCTTACTGTATTCCAGAAGGAATTTTTTCTTTACTAAGAGAGGGTTTTTTTATGCGGGAGATGTTTTCTGGGAATGCTGACTTCAGATCCATCTCATCTTGATGTGGCTCCTGTGTGGTTTTGCAGCAGCTGGAGTTATTTTCCTTCTGTTAGTGTTCCACTGTCCTTCACCTATTCCATGAGCTCACTGAGGCCAGGGCTGTGGGGCAGCAGGGATGGTGCTGAGGTCCCTGAGCCACATGTTGGGGCACCTTCCTCTCATGAGTCCCACTGCAAGGTAGGCTTTTCTACATGGCAGCCTCAGGGCCACCTGCAGCTCAGGGCCCTGCCTGGCCTAGCAGCCACCAAACATGCCTTAGAAAAGAGTTTAAAGCCAAGCAAGCCTGTAACAACTCTTCTTCATCACTGTTCTAGCTTTTAGGGTTTACCTGGTTTTATAATTAATGACTTAATTAACATTTCTTGCCTGAATTATGACCCTGTAAGACCATGCAGACTTTCAGTGTCCCCAGCATCCTGCAGTAAATAGTTTAACAGTTCACTTACATATTGTTGAAGAACAAAATCTTTGTGTTTGTTCTCAACCTGCCTCCCAAGCTCTCTACTTTGCCTCACACCCTTGCTGAACCCTTGTTGCTCCCCACCTCACTTCTTCCCGTCACTGGATCCAGAGGGATGCTGTCTGATACACTAGAGAAGATGCTTGAGAAACCTGACCCTCTTTCTCTAAAAAGAAAAAAAAAAAAGTGCCATGGGGATTATTAATTGGTGCTAAGAGTTCTCCATGTGGAGAAGTTTCCTTTCAGGATTGCTCCAGGGGATTATTAGGTTCTTGAAGGACACTGAACTGAGCCCACTGAGACTGTCCTGTTGGCTCAGAGCTTTAAGTGAGACTCCAGGCACATAGTAACCCTTGCCATCAGTGGGAATGTTATGGGAAGCACCTGGAGAACCATTCCTGAGTTTTAGCACCTGGGAAGCTCTGTGGGGCTGGTTGGTGGCACACAGCCATAGCTGTGTATTGGTGCCTTGTAATTGTGCTGTGGCTGCTGATTCATCTGCACAGCCTGGCTGGTGTGGGGGTTGGAGCTAAATGAGTTTTACAGTGGAAGGCAAAGTGGCCTTTCCTTCCCTTCTTCTGGAGCCTCCAGTTTCCAGGAAGCCGTGCCTGCAAGCTCTGATGCGTGACTTTCTCTGGTCCACTGGGATCGGAGGAGAAGGAGATGCTGCTGGGAGTTTATTGCTGTTTCCTGTCTTGTCTGAGCTCTTGTCCTCTCTGAGGTGGTGGGCTGAGGCTGCTGGTCTTCAGACCTGCAGCTCTTTGTAACCCTGCCAGGAACAACCCAGCAGCAAAGTGAAATTGCAGCTCCTTCCTTGCCCCCTCACTCAGATGGAGCAGCCGGTGAAAGGAAACAGGGGGATGAGTTACAGTAATAGGTTTAGCAGAAGGCAGGGGAAAAACAAGTTATTTCCATCAGTGCCCTGCAGTCAGCATGAGGGTGCCATGCCCACCTGCTGATCTCCAGTGGGTTCATCTGGCCTTGCTTTGCTTCCCTTCCCTGCTGTACCATTGAACTGGGATGAATTTAATGGGGCTTATTAATAAACTTTAATTTAGTTCTGCAGTGCAGTCTCTCTGTAGAAATAGAGTGTCTTTGGGATGCTCTGTCCAGTAGATTCCTCCATTGGTCTATGTACCTGGGACATGGCATTCAGGTCTTTGCACAGTCTGTGATCTCTGAACTCAACAGTCTACAGTTTCTAGGTAACAATGTCCCATTTGTTTCTGGTCCAACTTCGTTGCATTTTGTTTAATTTTATTGATACCTCCATGGATGAGTACCAGAGGTTTAAGGTGCAGAGGGAGAGAGGGACTGGGAGGAGAAGGCATTGCCAGCAGAACACATTCCCAGGATGGGTGAGCCCTAAAGGCAGCCAAGTCCCCACATCACCCCGTGGCTCTAGGGGAATAAAATGACTACAGCTAATTACAGTCTGAAAATGCAGATAAGCTTGAAAGAGAATGAAGCATAGCCCAGCTCTGGCTTTCTCACTGAGCATGGAGGGATTTCTCTGCATAGCCTGAAAACAGGGAGGGAGGGAGAGTTTTGCCAGTGGACATGATAAGCAGATGAAGGGGCTCCTGTGGTCCATCTGGGGTGGTCCAGCCACTTTTCCAAGCAGTGGTCAGGCAGCTCAAAGTCTGAGGAGAGTCCTCTTACCACCAGGTGAATGTTTTCCTCCTTGGAAACTCTAGTCCCTGCTCTGTGCTTGTTACTTCTCCTGGAAGTAACAAGAATCAATGTATTATCTCCTTGTACTAGAATATTTTGCCTTGGTCAGATGGTCTTGACCAGTCACATGTGTGAGTCTGAGGAGTGGGAAAAGCAATGTCTTCTGTAAGTGAAGAGGGAACTGGTTACCATCAGCCCACGCTACCACAGCATTTCAAGGCCAGAGTGGTGAATTATGTGAAAGTGCTGAGAGCCCTTTTGTGGTAGCATGGACTGCTGTGGCTGAGCTGGGAACAGGGCTGGTGCATTTGTTTGGATTTCAGGCTGGTTGGGTGTCTTAGTTTGTTACTCAGAGGTTTTTTAGGTTTTTCTGGCCCATATTTTCCTTGGTTTGGATTTCATTGTGCCTGCAGAGTTGTGTTTGTGCCCTGGGTTTGAGGCTGTTCAGCAACCATGTTTCTTGGCAACATTCAGAATAGAGAAGGGACCCAGGACCAGTAGTTTCTAAGCCATCTCATCAGTGGTGCGGTCAGCGGGCCAGCCAAAGTGAGAGGACTTGGGCTGAAGCTCCCCCATTGCCTCCTCACAACCACCAGTAGCTCCTGCTTACTCTGTCCTGAAGGCTGCACAGCCCTGGTGTTCATCCTTTCAACAACACTTTAATGACTTGTCCTGTTTTGGGGTATAAATGATTTCCCCTTTCCCTCCACTCCCCAATCTTGTCCCTGAGAGAAGCATGGGACATGGAGGAACTCTAGTATTTCCCTCTTTGTCTGTTTTCAAACTGGCACCCACTTCTGTGGGAGCTGTGGTTTGTGCTGGGATCAGTTTTGAGGGTTTTGGCTTCCCTAGCTCCTGACTGCTGCCTTATCATCCCAATCCACCCACCTTCACCAAGTGACATGGTGGGAGTTGTAGCTGTCAGACCAAGCCACCAAGGAGGCCAGGCCAGAAACCCAGGCTTCCCCTGGGGAAGACAAAACATTAAATTACTCAATGAAAGGAGGGGAGAGATGGGCTGTTTGCAGGGTGGGTGGTGCCCCATGTCACCCGTGGAGACATTAGCTGGTTGAGGAAGGTCAGTGGCCCCACCAGGGCCAAGCACTGCTGTGCTTTCCTGGGTGGTTTGTCACTTGACCAACAACCCAATTGCCCCATCCCTCTGCTGATGCTCTTCCTTCTCTTTTTCAGGGAGCCCATTGGAAAGAAGAGGTCTGGTAAGGACTCCTTTCCTCTCTGCTGGTTACACCAACTCCTCCTTTCACCCACAGCTGTGGTCTCCTGGAGCAGGGCAAGGGCCTGGCCCCATGGCAAGACAAACCCCTGCTTTGCTCCCCTGTGGGACTTCCCAGCACAGTGTGTCCCCTCCATCCACCTGGGATTTCACTGCAGCCTCCAAGTCCTGATCCCATGTCCCCTGCGCCTCCTGTGGCGCTCCCAAAGGTGGGTCAGATGCCCACAGCTCTCCACACTGTGCTGGCCTCCCCCTTCAATCATTAATTGAGCTGTTGCCACCATTGCTGCCGCCCCCAGGTTCATTTCCCTCCCCGCCTCATGCCTTGTCTCCCGTTCGTTTTGTTCCTCATCAGGGTTTATCCAGAGAACGGCCTCTTTCCTGCAGAGAGGTACTAACAGCTGCTCACTGCCCGGCCCTTGCTCTTGCTTTGCCTTTCTCTGGGGGGACCCCTGCTCAGGCTGGGTGGGCAAGACCCTTGCAAGAGGCTGTCACGTCCCTGGTAGCTTTCTGTGGTGGCTGGTGGACACGGGGCAGTAGTGGAGCCGAGGTCCGGCAGGCTGGGGCTGGGGCTTGGCTCTTGGTGCAGGGGATGTGCCACAGGTCCTGGGCGAAGGTCTGCGGGCATGGGGATGCAAAATTTCAAAAATCCAGAGGAATGTCTGAGCTGCCTGGTGGTCAGTGTGAGGTGGAAAGTCTCCCGATGCAGCAGTAGGTCCTGCTTTTATGATGGCACCAGCTGGGAGCCTTTGGGAAGACAGTTGGGGCTGGGATACTCTACCCCTGCTCCTTATAGAGGGAAACATCTCTGAAATAAACCCTAGTTGGTGTGTTTTAGCCTATAGAGAGGAGAAGGAGAGAGGAGTGGAAGAGCCTTTGATCTGTGGATTAAGGAGGCGTCTTTCAGCTACTGAAGCTGCATATTTAAAAATAGTGTGAGGTTCTTTGGGAAGCGTGAGGTTCTTTGGGAAAGTTCTGCGCCTTGGCTGGATGGAGATTCTTCTGAAATAGGTGGTGGAAAGGATTTTGGCCAGAGAGTTGGCACTGCCATAAGATGTGTAAGCAAATTCACCTCTAGATGAGTGGGTTCCTCTTGGAGGAGAGAGAAGTACAGGGGAGACTCAAAGACTTGTTTCCGCTTTTTTTCCACTGGAGCTGCAGGTCATCCCTCCTTCAAGAGCTTATGGTGTCCCAATGTCTTAACTGAGATTAGCTGTAGGAGGATGCATGTGGAAAGCTCTGATGTTGTTGACTTGAACAGTGGCTCCTGGTTTTGGTCTGTTCTCACAGGCAGGTCATAGTTGGGTGCTCTCCTGATGGACTAACGGGGTTTTACAAATGTGGTTAAATCTTTGGACAACATTTTCTCCTCAAACTCTGACTGCTCTCTGTCAAAGCAGGACATTGGGATGGTCATTTTGAAGCTCTCATGGGCCATTTGCAAGCACAGACTGCAGTACTGGCTTTCTTGTTCTGAAGTGAATCTTCACCTAGCTTTGGAGGCAGAGAGAAGCATCTGGCTGTGGGTGGGAACAAAAAAAGACTGCAAATATTTTCCTTCTCCTGTTTTGATGAAACAAATGTAAAACAAAGATACAATCTCCCTCATCTTGAAACCTTCTCTTGTGTGCTGCCTCAGCAGGAACATTTGGTGAGTAAGGGAAGAGTGTTGTGTTTCCCTATGAGATCAGTATGTGCTTAGATCATTTTTACTTCTGTTCACTTACATAGGCAAGAGAAGAAAAGGCCTTTCTAGGGTTGAGAAGAAGAGGAAGAAAATTTCTGCTGCGTAACTCAGTTCTTTGAGGGCAAAATTCAATTTAAGGACACTGGCTGTTAAAGAAGCAGGAACTTTTCTCCTGCTCATGTAAACAGCTTCATCCTGCCTTCCCACTGCATTCATAGACAGCTTCACTCTGCCATCCCTTTGGCATGGTGAGTTTGTAAGGGTCACAGGGATGTTGCTGAGGTCAAAGAGAAAACACTCTTTGGGATGCTGTTCACTTGACAGTATTGAGAGGGAGAGAATGGTAAGAATTTGGGTAACAACCAAGCCAGAGCCTGCTCTGGCAGGGCAGGATGTGAAATTCTGCCCATGGCAGCTGGCATATGTGCAGGAGCCATGAGGGAAAGGTGTTTGCTTGCAGCAACGGTCGATGCCTCATGCCAGACATGTTCAGAGACTCCTCTCACTCTCTTGCATTTTCTGGCAGCAGAAACAGAGTTTGGTTCTGCTGCTGTCACCCCAGTTCTTCATATACCTTGAGGAGATTCATCAGGTCCTCAAGCCAGCCCTGCTCTGAGGTAACAAATATGCAGCAAGGCACAAAAGAACGCTAATCCAGGATCTCCCTGAGGAGGGGTCATCCAATAGCTGCTAACAAAAAAAAATCATGAGAATTTTCTAATAAGCAGTTTCCCAATTGCTTATTTCTCCCAGCATTGCCAGAGAAGGGGTGAACTGCTCTTGAGGAGAGTGTTGGAAAGAACTCTGAGCTCCTGCCAGCAGCAAGCCCTGGATTTAAGCAAACACTGGGATGCGAAGTGGGTTAGAGTGCTGCCTGCCCTCAGCCTCCTGTGGTGACCAAGAGACTCAGGTGACATTTGCTGTGTAGAGGAGGGCACGGTGTATGTGAGCATTGGTAATAACATCTGCTTTCTTTGGTGAGGTTTTTTACCAGTGTTTGTAATCCCACATGTCTGTGAGCCTCAGGCGTGGGCCTGGGCTCTGTTCAGCCTGCAGCTTGAGAGGGGCGGGTTATCCCTCAGTCTCTGGGATTCTGAAGACTGACTTGGCCACTGATTTAGGTACATCTAAAAGTAGTCATCGTATCAGTCCCCAAGGCGTTTCTGTTCTCTCCTCATCTCACAGTTGAACAGAAAGCACAGATGGAGAGTCATGGGTTTGTTGCAGCACTGACTTAGTGCAGGGGATCCTGAAACTGTCTCCAGAGTTTATATTTGGTTGGAGCTGCTCAAGGAGGCTGGCAGAGACCTCAAATACCCTGCTGCCAGTTTTGTGTTAGATGCTTTCTTATGTGGCCATAGTAGTAGTGTGGCTGCAATGGCAGAGGGACCCCAAACCACAGTATTCAGTCTGATGAGAAGCAGTGAAAACACAGCCCTCAAATCCTACAGCAGCCATAAGGGACCTTTCTGAAAATCCACTGGTGAATGATATTCCCATGTTATTATTTTCCAGTTCTGGAAAAATCCCTGAAGAAATGAGAGGGTTTGCAAAGAGTACAGTGCAGCATCCAGTGCCCATTTCACATGAGAGCGGTGAGAAAGTCACTTGTGGTATTGATCTTCACAAACTCCTCAGGTCTGAGAGAAGAGGGGCTGTCCTGAGAGCTCTGGGTCTGATCAGCACAGGCAGAGGAGTGGGAAGAAACTTTATCCAAAGTATGACATCTTTGGAAGATGAATTAGGCAAGGGCTGGAGTGTACAGCAAGGGCAGGTTTCCAAACCAAATACCTGTGCCCCCTGATTTCAGTCCTGAGCTTTTTTTTCCCCTCTGGAGGCACCAGTGTCCAAGCTCTCAAAGTCCTCACTTTTGGCCCTTGCAAAGCCAGAAAGTGGAAAATCTGGAAATGTCACAAGCAACCCCGTATCTGTGAAATTTCCTGCTGGCTTTGTACATATCAACACTTGGATGAATGACCAAGTCTCTGGTCAAACAAAACCTGCAACAATTTTTGGGCTGACCCATCTGCAACATGCCTTGAGGTCACTGCACTGAGCAGCCCTTGGGTTGGTTCTGGGATGTGCTGAGCATCTCCCCAGTGGCTCTGCTGCATCCGCAGCAAGCATCAGTTCTACAAGTCCAGTCCAGGAGCCTCAGTGGTCTTTTAGCACATCCCTTCTCTAGCCACGTTTGTGTCAGTCTCACAAGTGGAGTGTTGAGGATGCACAGTCTGTGCCCCTGCCTGAGCTGTCTGCAAAACTCACTCTCCTGTGGGACTGTACTAATCCTTCCTCCCCTCCCCAGGTGCAGAGCTTTAGTGCTGTCTCCCATCTTAGCTGGGAAGCTTTACACCACTGCTATTTTTGAGAAACCCAAGTCTGTCCATATACAGGATGTTGTTGTTAACTGTAGTGTGTATTTTGTGGTTGAGGACGATTATGCCAGGTGAAGATGCTCCTGAAATTACCACCTACTTCTTCCTCCAAGCTCAGTTTACCACTTTTGTTGCTGGTTTAATAGGTACATTGGAGGATCCAGAATTGGCTGCTGAAACTACAAATAGCCTCAGAGCAACGGGTGTAATTACAGCAGAGGAGGCAGAAAGGAGAGTACTTATCTCTTCCTATAGCTGTTATTCTTCTCTCAAGGGCTGGGTAGATCCTCAGATCACTTTAAATACAAACCTTTAATTGAGCTAGTAGAACAGATAGTCCTAGCATCCACCATTCACTTTAGAGGGCTATTTTTAATTCTGTCTGGTGCCCCACCTCTGGGGTTTGGTATGGAGGAAGCTTTCTTTAGCAGTAACAGATCCTCTGCACTTGGCCAGCTCACCTGGAGCTCTGCAGAGTGCTGTTTATAGCAGATTAACACAGACAGTTTGCCTCCTCTTCCTTTAAATAGGAAGATGTCTCGAAAACACATTGTTCATTTAAATCTTGGTTGTGGTCTCCTTCTCAGAACCAGTTGGAGAGGTTGTGACCTTGTGCACAGGAGAACTTCTCTGTGAGGCAGCATCCTAGGAATCCTGAAGACTTGCTAGATCTTGTCCATCTCTACTCATACCCTTTTGGGATGAGTATGGCCCCATAGGTTTCCTATGGAGGAACCTATGCCCTGCAATAGGTTCCCCCATAGGAAAGATCTTTCGTCAGGCCTTGCCTCTCATGTGTTGGGGGAGTACATGGTGCTGGTGCACTTGCCCACAGAAGCTTATTCCTGATAACACAGTCTGAATTCTTTGCTGCATATAACCTAGCTGTCCCAAGGAATCACCTCCCCCAGGGAATTTTACACCCCTTGGAGACTGGGAGCTGATTGTCCTCCATATCTGTCTGCTGTAGCAGCTGGAGCCTGGGGCAGGTGTGATTTCTACCTCAACCCAAAACTCGAGGCTCAGGGTAACACATGGGCCCTTTAAATTTGACCTAACACCTGCGATCAGGTGTGTGATTCTTTGGTATCACTTGTGCTGTAATCATTAACACACTCTTATTTCCAGAGCATTTGGCAAGTATTAATTAAATCTTACTGCACTAGGGGGAGAACAGGATAATATAATAGTGTCCTCCTCTGACAGGTAGCGAAGCCACAAGGCAGAGTGGCAGCTGGAAGCCAGGGCTTGGGATGGAGGCAAGTCTTGAGCAAGTTTCTGACCCCTTTTTGCCTCTTGGTGGCTTTTGGAGGCAGATGGACAAGTGCTCTGGGTACCCGAGTGCCTTGTGGTTGGTTCAGCGGGAGGCTGTGCCCGAGAGAATGTCTGTGTCTGATCCTGCCAAGCCCTGGGTGCTTCCATGGGCGCCCAGGACACAGCCAGCCCTGGGCACATGTGGGGAAAGGGGAGCTCTGCTCGGTGTATGGGACAAAGTGGGGCCGTGTTTCCGAAGCAGTGACAGCTGCCAGTGGGAAGCTCTGCTGCCGTGCTGCCATAGCGGGCAGCGCCGAGCCGGGGGGCATCCATATCCAGAGCTCTGCCCTAATGGAAAACGTGCTTGCAAAGCACAAACCAGCCTGGCCCTGCTCCCCTCCCGTGACAGCGGGGAACTGGCAGTGGTCCCTGTGTCCCGCCGTATCCCGCGGTGTACCCGTTATCCCAGGGTTATCCCGCAGTGCTCCCCGTGTCCCGCCGTATCCCGCAGTGCTCCCGGTATCCCGATCTTATCCCGCAGTGCCACCTGCCGCCGGCCCGGCTCCGCACCCGGCGATCCGGCCGCTCCCGGCTCTCCCCCGGTTCTCCTCCGGTGTCGGCCTCCTTCTGGACACAGGAAGGCTTTGTTCCCGGTGCATCCTCCCAGTTCACTCCTCCTTGGCCTATTTTTTTTCTTTTTCTGACACGAAATTTGGATCTGCAGCAGGAGGAGCCAGGCAGAGAGCAGAGCAAACCGAGGTGTCTGAATACCCCAGGGCGATGAGGACAGAGGATGCTGCTCTGCCCTACACACACCTTCCAAGTTCTACTCTTTAGCCCAGCAGAACCCACTGCAGTTTGAGTGTTTTGAGCTGGGGTCAGAGCTGGTCCATGCATTGGGGCAGCTGGTGCCAGTGCACAGGAAGGTTCCCCAAACCCCCTCAGTCTCTGAAAGCAGGTCCAGGCTGCTGTGAGCATCTCTGGTGGTGGTGAGGTTGCTTGGATGGCTCTTTTGGTGAGCAGGAAGGTGGGCAGCGAGCAAAAGGTCTCACCTGGCTGTACCCATCTCACCTGGCTGCTGGTTTGATCTCTCTCCTCCTCACTGTGCCCAAGCCTCTGGCTCACGTCTCTCACGCTGGGGTCCCCAGGGTGTCCTGGAGCTGCTCGCAGGCCAGCAGGTGCTCGGGAGCGGTGGCCTGTGCTGACCCTGGCACACGGGTCGGTTCTTGTCCCCCCTGTGCAGGAGCTGACTCTGCCTCGGTCGACCCCTTGGTGCTGGAGCAGTATGTCGTGGTGGCGGACTACCAGAAGCAGGAGAGCTCCGAGATCAGCTTGTGCGTGGGCCAGTTGGTGGATATCATTGAGAAGAACGAATCAGGTACAGAGAGTTTGGCTTGGCAGAGGGCTTTGGGTCTGCTCTGTGTCTCAGAGCAGGGGTAGGAATAGCAATCCTGTATTCTCAGTGTTTTCCTAATAGGGCCTTAAACGAAACAGCCTCCAGGCTCCTCACAGGGGTGTCCTGGGATGATGAGCTGAGGTGGGATGTGGAGGAAGAAGCTTTGGTCTGTAGGAGTGCAGACAAGACTTCAGAGCTGTCTCTAAGGGAAGGGTCTGACTATCCATGTGCTGAGCACCAGGCACCATCCATCTTCTTCAGTCTCTACTTTATGCTTCTTTGTGCTGAAAAACTTGGCTGATGGGTCCTGAGGACAAAAAGCCATTCCCAAACTTGGCAGGCTTGTTTTATTGACAGAGGGGGACACTCTCATGGTGCCCATGAAAGCCCCCATTGTGCATTCACAATTCCTGCCTCCGAACACAGCGGGGCAGGCAGCCGAGCTATTCGCTTGCTTCAAAACTTAAACTTGCTCTTAACGTCTGCAAAGGGATCTAGTCAGGTCATGGGCCCAAATTCCGTAGTTTGTTGAAAAGGGGAATTCACTCCCTGAAGTTTACAGAAGTTGCTTGGGTGGGGGGGGAGTTAAATCATGAAAATAGATTTTTAAATTCTGGAAAACTGGTCCCTGGAGGATCAGTTGCACCAGCAGCTGTGTTTGAGAATGAGAAAAATAAAAGCTACCCTCAAGCAAATGAAACCTATTAGCACAGCCAGTTCAAAAGCAATGAAAAATAATTTATTTCTCAAAGGTCAGCCCTGATTTTCCCTCCCATGCAGGTAGCTGATTCCCTCCCCAACAATCTAGTTGTTTTTCTAAATGACTCACTGGTGAGGTTCTGAGGATAATACTCAGTCTTTATTTTTTTCCCCTGAAGACACAAATAGCTTGTGCTTTTAATAACTGAGGAGCACATACTTATTTTGATTGGGCACACAGGGTGGCCCAGAATTGCTTGTGGCCACTGTGGAGCTGGCTGGGTTTCCACTGGGAGAGCTCATGTTTTAATCCTGCAGTTGCTCGTGGCTTTTCAATTTTGCTGTTTCCACAAATGTAAAGAAGGCGAGCACAGCAGGAGTCAGCTATCGATTCACAGACAGGGTATTCATCTCTGCTAATTAGCCTGGACTTGCTGACCCAGACTGAGGGAAAATGAACCATGAAGGGGGAAAAAAAGGTAGAGCAAATGTGGTGGCTGGAGACATTAATCTCTGAGAGCCTCTCCTGTTTTTCCTGGGGAGAGAATTGTACATTTCCATGTCATTCAGCTGCAGTTGTCCCATGCTCCTGTCTGTGGTCCCTTTCGGATAGTGCTTGGCTCTGTTGCTTTGGGGCCACCCCAGCTTCCCATGCAGGCAGCAAGGAGAGGTCACAGCCCCCCAGACTTGTGGTTTGGAGAGGGGAGAGATTTTCTGGCTGGTGTGAGCCCTTGGCTGAGCCACCTGCTGTTTTTTTATTCTCAGGGTGGTGGTTTGTGAGCACATTGGAAGAGCAGGGCTGGGTGCCGGCGACCTGCCTGGAGGCTCAGGATGGAGTCCAGGATGAGTTCTCAATGCAGCCTGATGGAGGTAAGAAGCTACTGGAGGCATCTACCCCAGCTTCTTGCTGCTGAACTACGTAGAGCTCCTGGCAGTACTGCATCACCCTCCCTGAACTGGGCAGGGAAAGGACAAACCCACATGTGCTGCCTGGAATGGTCCTGCCTGCTCAGCAGCTCCGGTGCTGCAGCAGGAGTGGGGCAGCTGGGTACTGGCAGTGTGACTGATGGCATCCCTGCTCCCCCACAGAAGGGGCTGAAGGTGGCACCTCCAGGGAATGCTCACTCCTGCCACCTCAGTGCCTCCTTTAGGCCCCAGGGAGCTTTTACCTGCGCTGGAGGAGGAGCAAAGCCCAGGTCCTTGGACAAATCATGTGTCTTCAACAAATACAGAACAAAGAGCACCCCTGAGCTCATGTTATGGGAATAGCAAGGTTGCAACCTCTGCTTAAAGCAAATCTGAAATGTCCCTGGAGGTGTCCTTTGTGGTGACCGCTGTGTGCTCAAAGCAGTGCAGTAGCTGGCTCAGCCCCTCCTCTGGGCAGGCAGAGGTGGGAGGGGGGCTCAGACTGGGGAAGGGCCCCAGAGGGCTCCAGGTGAGAACAGTCTCTGTACCACTCTCTGGTGCCAGCCCTATCTCTTCTTGGACCTGAAGTGTTGCCTCCTCACATCCTCTCTTGTCCTTCTCCTGCTTCCCCAACATGCTCTTCCCAGTCCCATGGAGATACTGGTCTCTGCCCAGGCACGTTGGCCGCCGTCGGACTCTTGGGGACTTGTACACCAGTGGATGGGGTCAAGGTGGACTTCACAGAGACTTTCTTGGCTGCCCATGTTTTGTGCTTGGAGCCTTGTTGTGTGCATGTTTGTTTGCTTTGCATGTGATGATCCCTGCTTGTGTCAGTCCACAGTGTGTGCCATACCTGCTCCTCATCCTTCCATGAGGCCTACTCGTGTCCACATCCCTTTCCTCTATCAGCTGTTCCTTCTCACAATTTGAGGCTTGTTTTGGATTCAGAGACTGGAGTTTCTGCTTTCCCCCAGCACATGTACACAGACTTCTTCCAACTGCTGCCTCAGTTACTGTAAAAGTGACTTTGAGCCCTGGCCTGGGATTGGTGCCTCAGGTGGGGTCAGGAGGAGAAGAGCCAGCTTGGTCTTGCTGGATGTGACAGGACATTCTCCTCTTTGACTCCTTCACATGAAGTAGGTGGGAAATCAGGCCCTTCCAGAGCTGTGGCTCCTCACAGAAGAAAAATCCAGGAAACCTGCATGGTGGGGATATATGAATGTCCAGGTGTGGATTTTGGAGGCAGATTTTTCCCCAGATGGCCTCCACCCTATTGTGGCACAGCTTAAGCACAGGCAGTTATTTTCCTGTGTTTCTTCCAGAGAGGACAGGACAAGGTGAGGGAGAGGGGTGGATGGATGGTTCTGTTTGTCTGACATATTGTCTGCATGGTTGTTAGGATGTTTTCCCTTCCTCCTGAAGGGAAGAACATCCATATCCCTGCTTAACATCCCTTGGTCTGATGGACAGAACATCAGACTCTTCTCCAGCCTCCACACATGGCTTTGACCAATGTCTTGGAGATGGAGCTGTTGAACAGGGAAATTCCTGTAGACCTGCTGCTGTAGACTGGTTTGAGAGCTGTGTGTGAGGAGTTGCTCCCTGATGCCCATGGGATTTCTTTCCCCTTATAGGGGACAGTTTTTCTGTAAAAGCTTTATGAAAGAAATTTGAACTGAAATGGACGCATGGAAGAGCTTCTGTGACAATCTGTAAAAAGACAGTCTTTAGTCCTAAGGGAGAGGAGGAACTGTTTTAGACAACTTCTTGGGCCAGAGTAGCTCTCCAAAGTTTACATTTCCAAATGCAGCTGTGTTTGTTTTGAAATATATTTCACTGTCATTTCTCTTCAGAATGGTTGTGTATCTCTGTGTGTTTGCACCTAAATTACAACAAGAATTATCATTTATCAAAGCACTTTATAACCATTTTTCAGCTGAGCCCAGGTTTCCATGAAACAGTATCTCCATGAAACTGTGCTCTCTTTCCAACAGAGGAGAAGTACACTGTCATTTACCCCTACACTGCAAGGGACCAGGATGAAATGAACCTGGACAAGGGAGCTGTGGTCGTGGTGATCCAGAAGAACCTGGAGGGTTGGTGGAAAATCAGGTACTGTCCCTACCTCTTGCTCTTCCCTGGCACTGCAGCTGGGGCTGTGCAAAGCAGAGACCCAATGCGTGTGGGATGTACCCAAGGGCAAGTCTGAGGTGCTGGGGAGGGCAGAGTACCAGAACTTATTTCTCTCCAACCCTACAAAGACCAGTTGATATTCAAGCACAGCTTTGGTTGAGAATCTTTAAAATCCCCTGATTTCCTATGCTGGGAGGTGGACTGTGTCACAGCATCACATGCCCCAGCAGTGCAAAGGGAACTGATGTGAGAATGTTACATCACGTCCTGCTGATGGGAAAACCAGCGAGTGTCCCAGAGGCAGGCTGGCTCCTCTGGCTCTGTTCAGATGCTCCTTCAGAGAAGGGCCATTATCTGGGCCAGGTCTGCTGCATGCAGGGTATGCTGAGGCCAAAGGCTCCAGACCATCCTGAGCTGATAGTTGTTTTCTGCTGGAAGCTCATTTTCTCATCTGTGGTCCAGCAAATGGCTGGACTTGATCGGAGTGGGAGCACTGCTGCAATTTTCTTAACCTTACATTGAACCTGTGGTCTTGGCAGCAGCACAGCCCCAGAAACACATCCATTGACTATTTAAGCAGAGGAGAGCTGCCACAAGAGCTCTAAAGGCTATTACAAGCTCAGTAGTTGGTGCCATCGGAACGTAGTGGCTGCAGCCCAGCCAGCGGGGAGAGTCTCCAGCATGGCAGGGAGACTCTGCGGATGTGGTTTTTTGATCAGGTCACGGGGCTGGTGTCTCTCCTAAACGGATTTAGAGCAGGGAAGGGATCCAGGCTGCTGGTGCTCAGGCAGAGGGCTTGTGCTTTCCCCAAAGACCAGGTACATCAATCCAGCAGCAGCCCTCTGCTTTTTCCCTCTGCTTCCCCTGCCAGTGCGCTTCATTCCTTAACTGCTGCCATTGCTGAGGTGAAAAGAAAATGGGGTTTTGCACCGTTCCCAGCCCTTGTCCTGCTGGCTGTGGCCAGCTTGTGTGGGAACATTAGTCATGACTGGAACTCTCCGGGTGCCCATGTGCCACTGAGCACCCAGTGAGCTCGTATTGCCCAGGACAGATGGTACATTCAGTCAACATGTGAGCTCTGGCTCCAGGGATGTCCAATGGCTCCACACCACTTGGGTGCAGTGATGTTGCCATTCTTGCCCCAACAGGTACCAGGGCCAGGAAGGCTGGGCCCCTGCCTCCTATCTCAAAAAGGGGAATGGAGACATGTTCTCACAGAAGCTGGGGCCGGGCTCCTCTGCTCATTCCTGTGCCTTGGATCTGGATGGCATCTCCCGGCAGCAGGTGGTGGCGAGCCGAGAGAAGGATGGGCTCACTGGGCAGAGGGATGGGAGGTTCGACAGCCGCCCCCTGCCCAACGCCGACATCCGACGCAGTAAGTGGCCGGTCAGGGGCAGGTGGGTGGTGGCTGCAGCTTTCAAGTGAGGTAATGGGGCGTCAGACAGAGGCTTGCAGGGGCTGTGAGTTCTGCAGCCGGGTCTCCTAAAGGGTGTCATTGCACACACGGGTGGGGCACAAGCACAGAACTTCCCAGGGGCCTGCTGAGGGTCAGCGAATGGAGCGGGGATCACCTCCCAGGCTGCAGATTCATCTGGAGGTGCTCTCCTCTCAGAAGCCGGCGTATCTGAAGGGAGCCTACAAGAAAGAGGGAGAGGGACTTTTTACAAGGACATGTTGTGACAAGGACAAGTGGAAATGGCTTCAAACTGACAGAGGGTAGGTTTAGATTGGATATTAGGAAGAAATTCTTTACCTGTGAGGGTGGTGAGGCCCTGGCACAGATTGCCCAGAGAAGTTGTGGCTGCCCCATCCCTGGAAGGGTTCAAGGCCAGGTTGGACAGGGCTTGGAGCAACCTGGTCTAGTGGAAGGTGTCCCCATGGCAGGTGACACCTTCCACACCTTCCAGAACCACCTTCCAACCCAGGTGGTTCTGTGATTCTGTGGTTCTATGATTGTAACCCCTCTGCAGGCCAGGTCTTCTGGGTCAGTCCTGCAATGCAAAAGCAGTTTTATGTGGTCACCTCAGATGCATTTCCCAGCAACATCTGAAAGCTGGTTTCCTTTCCCTTCCTTTCCCTTACCTTCCCTTGAAACCTGGGTGACCTCTGCTACTCAGAGTGCCAGGGAGACAGATTCTTCCTTTGTGTTTCTTTCCCTTGGGGCAGGTTTGGTCCTTGCCTGTCTGTTTTGTCTTGTCTTTTGCAAACACACATGTGACCAAATGCCAGGAACTCAACAGCATCTGGAATTCTTCCTCCACAGAGTCACCAAAGATGAGGCAGAGGCCACCTCCTCGCCGAGACCTCACCATAGTAAGTGCCAGCTGATGTAGGAGAGCAGCAATGGCAAAGGGAGTGGGAGAAGAGCACTAAAAGGAGCTCTGGTGACTGGTTATTCTTTGCCTGAGATCTTGCCCCTGTCCCTGGCTGTGCTGGTGTCTGTCTCTGCAGGCTGGTGGGCTGTGGGGATGTTGTGTCACACCTGCTGTAGAAACACACTGATGGGTTTCCTTTTTTCTGGTCACAGCCACGTGGTTTGAACCTGCCTAAACCTCCTGTCCCTCCTCAAGTGGAAGAGGAATATTACACCATCGCTGATTTCCAGACTACCATTCCTGATGGCATCAGCTTCCAGGCAGGAATGAAAGTAGAGGTGAGACTGTTATCTTCCCTTCACCTATCTTCACATCAATGCCGTGCTCCTGACTCCCATTGCCCTGGGACCTGTTTCAGGCAGGAGCTCCCCTTCCAGGCAGGGAGGATCTGCTCACCATGATATTCTGGATGAAAAATGGGCATGGTGATACATGTGATTGCCTCTGTGTAATGTTGTCATCAGAGTGGGAGAGAAACCTGTATGAGCTCACCAGACTTTGGAGCCCCAGATGCTCTTGGTGGCCTCCCGTCCCCCGGTCATGGGTGCTGTGTTAGAGCTAATGGAAAATAAAGCCAAACCACAAATCAGGTTAGAGATGGTAGTTTTTTCCTTGGTTAGGCTAGGTGTAAAGTTAAAAGCGCTTCCAGAACTGCTTTCCTGGCACACCCTCTTTGCTGGCAGAATCCCTCCTGCAGATGGGATTTTGCTTTCTCCATGTGCTGATGTGATTTATCCCTTGCTAAGAGGATTTTCCTTTAGGGCTGCCCCAGTCAGCCCCTCCCAGGCCTCAGCCCCACTCCCGGAGCTCCAGAGTCTGGACTGTGTCCGATCCGTGCAGCATCGCTGCCGGTTGATCGCTCCAACAGTGCCACGCAGTGGCCACCGCCAGCACCCGGCATCCCGCTCCCGGGGATAGCTCGGAAACAGCTCCTTGCCGCGGCTGTTCCGTTCCTCAGCTCCCTGGCACGCAGCTCTCCTTCCCTGGCAGAGGTCATGACCGGGTTCCCCTCCCATTAGATGCCAGTGCTGTGATTCCATGGTTTTTGGCTGGAGAGGCGCCAAGGCCATGTGCCCCCCTGACATAATTTCGGAGACACCCTTTTGTGCAGAGAGGGATCCCACATGGATGTCTGAGGTTTCCTTTCCCCTCGGCAGGTTATTGAGAAGAATCTGAGCGGCTGGTGGTACATCCAGATCGAGGAGAAGGAAGGCTGGGCCCCTGCCACCTTCATTGATAAGTACAAGAAAACCAGCAATGCATCCCGGCCGAATTTCCTGGCTCCACTCCCCAATGAGATGGCCCAGCTCCGGCTCGGTGACGCCACGGCCGATGGCAACAGCAGTGAGGAGGCGACAGGGCCGTGCCGTCCTCTGCCAGAGGCTCCTCCTAACGGTACGGACTGCAGTGGGAGGTGGGCCAAAGACTGGAAGGGGCGGGAAGGTCCCGAAAGTGGGGACCTTTCCTTTGCCGGGGGCTATGAGGAGATCTCGGACCGTGACACAGAGGAGAAGCCCAGCCTGCCGCCCAGGAAGGAGTCCATCATTAAATCAGAAGGCGAGTTACTTGAGAGGCAGAGACCTCCCCCCAAGCCCCCAGGCATGATTTTGCCCATGATCCCACCCAAGCAGTCGGCAGCCCCAAAGGACAGCAAGAAGCCAGAGCTCAAACCAGAGAAGGGCAAACTTTTCCAGCTGAAAAACGAAATGGGACTGGAATGTGGACATAAGGTGTCAGCCAAGGAGGTGAAGAAGCCAAACCTCCGGCCCATTGTCAAGCCAACCAAGCCAAAAGCTGAGCCTGTGGAGGACAAACCTGAGCCCATCACCCAGAATCCGTTCTTGAAGTCTAGACCTCAGATCAAGCCAAAGCCTGCTGCATCCCCCCGGACAGACCCACCTCCAGCTGATGATAAACTGGACATTTGCAGCCTGCGGAGCAAGCTTAGACCTGCCAAGTGCCCAGAGAAGCCCTCCGAGCAGGACACTGCTGCCAGTGAAATCTCCTTCAGTAGTGCTGTGGTCTCTTCGGAGGCTCCTGGAAGGTTTCCAGAGCGACCAAGCATGGAGAACAAGCCCCTGCCCAAGCTGGACAGCTATACCACAAAAGAGGCACTGCCCAAATCTCCCCTGGGCCCAGCAAACACCCCATGTGCCAGGGACGCCCCACCACAGCGCCCCGTTGTGCCACCTCGCAGACCACCCCCACCCAAGAAAATAGGGGGTCCTGCCCCTGGCCCCGCAGTGGAGCTGAGGGCCCCAGCACGGGAAGCGCCTGAAATCAGGTCATCTGCAGTGCCAGGGAGGCCCATGCTGGTTCCTCCGAAAGCCAAGCCCTTCCTCTCTGCCTCCATCCAAGATGAAGCCAAAGCAAAAAGCAGCATAAGCCCAAAGGTCATTTCCAAACCAGTGGAGAGAGGGGACCCTAGGGAGAGGACCTCAGCCCCTGTCTCCAGCCTGGACATTACCAGGGAAGCTCTCTATGTGGCAGTGGCGGATTTTGAAGGCGACGAGGAGACCAACAGCTTTAAAGAAGGGACTTTGTTTGAAGTTCGTGAGAAGAACAGCAGTGGCTGGTGGTTTTGCAAGGTCCTGACAGGGGGGCCGTGCTGGGAGGGCTGGATCCCTTCCAATTACCTGCGGAAGAAGCCGTAGCCACTCCTCTGCTTGCACGGCTGGAGGTTCCCTGGTCTCTCACCTGAGTATTTAATTAGCAGATTAATTTATAGTTTTCTGTGAGGCTGGCTTTAAAAGGAAAGATAATAATTGAGATCCCACGCATCCCAGCTGGTGGTGCCTGTTGGCGGCAGCATGGAGGAAGCAGCTTGGCCTCCCCTCCCCACCCATTTGCTCCCACCCACCCTCCTCCCCACATTCTCCCAAGGACTTGGCTCCTGTGCCATCCTGGCAGCCCAGACATGCAGCTGGAGCTGTCTTGGCCAAGCTTCATGGTGTATGATGGCTCCCGTGGTTCTCTGTGCTCAGGAGATGGACTTTGATAAACATTTTGCCACCTGTACCATGAATGGTACCAACAAAGATTTATGGGTGGAATGGTACCAACAAAGGAAATCTGGCTGCACAAAAGAATTTGCCTTTCCCTGAAGCTCAGGGTCACAGTTAAATGTTGTAGGTCACCTTGCTTAGTCCAGGTGTGTGCCAGAGCCATTGGGAATGTGGCCAAAAGGAGGAATGATTGCTGAGAACAGGGTCCCTATAGCTCTGTCTGCACGTGCAGGCACAGGCATTGCCCAGTTAAGGGCTGTGCCTTGCTCCACCCACAAATGCCACAGGACCCTCCCTGCTCTGTGACAACAAGTGTTAACTTAAACATCCTCCTGATGGAAAAAAATGGAGAGAACTACACACACACTCGTCCAACAGGTCCTCTCTGTGCTGATCCAGGACACCATGCAGGCTTCTCCCCTGCAGTACCACAACCAAACGTCAGAGGGGTTTTGCTGAAGAATACTATGCAAGGCACAGAGGACCAAAATGACCCCAAAAGCCCTGGAAAAGGGATGCTTTGCTTTCCTTCCCACACCGACTGCCCAGCTTGTTGGACTAATAGGGGACCACCCCTTCTCACGACCCACTGAGCTTCCCCGGGCTGGCGGGCAGCAGCCAGGAGGTGGGTCCTTCCATAGGTGCTGATATTATCAAGTGCAATCCAGAATGTGGGAGTTCAGCTCCTCATCACAACCAGTTGTGAGGTGTGTCTGGTGCTCAGGGGCTGCTTACCTTGTTTGTCACCCCACCTGCCTGTCTTCCAGGTCCTTTCATTTCACGCTGTGTGACAGGTTGCTTGGGGAGCTTCAGGTCAAGCAGAGCCTGGGATTTTTCAGCGCTGACATCCTTGCCTGCCAAGCCTAATCTTGCCCACAGTGTTGCTTATCCCAGCAGGAGGATGAGCATGGATGAGCTGTCTTTCCCCAGTGCCAATTTCTTTCCCTCTGTCCTTGTCTAACTTGCAGGTTCAGGGCCGCATTTCTCTCCAGAAGAGCTTTAAACCTGGCTCTTGGTGGGTTTCATAGAATCACAGAATAGTTCGGGTTGGAAGAGACATCTGGAGGTTATCCAGTCCCACCCCCCCAGCCAAGGCAGGGTTAGGTTTTGTGTTGACCAAGCCCTGTTGCCCTCTCTGGTCTAATTGCAAGTGTGAGCACTGCAGCCACATTATTTTGCTGCTGAAAATAATTACAGTTTTCCCTCTAATTTGAGGCTGGCAGAATTGAAGCAGTGTTCTCCACTCCCCAAAATGCTTGCTTCCTTCTCTGTCCCATATTTTCTAGCCTGAAAATGTAGAGTTGAAGATCCCTCTGTCTGCATATAGAATGAAAATGGTGGTGCCTGTGGCCAGGTTTGTTCTGGGACAGTGATGGAGCAGTTTGTCCCAGCGCTGGTTTGATCTAATAGAGAAGTCCTGACCATCCCAGTACGGCCTAAAATCCAGAAGCCCCAAGATTCAATTTTAGCCATGGGAATTCATGCACCCCATTCTCCCCTTGATTGCTCTTGCTCTCACCTGCAGTTTTTTCATCAGCCTCTGATCAGAGTGACTCACCTGAGCTGGCAATAAGTGATCCATTTGCAACCCAATCTAGTAACAAAGCTCCTTGTGTGGCACATTTCGAGTTGTTGATGTGCTCCCAGGAGAGTTGCAGGGTGGGTTGGGGGAGCAACACTGCCTTCACTCTGCACATCAGTTGCTCCAGTAAAGCCCTTCTGCTTTGGAAAGGAGTGGGGACAGGATGAGTTAAGCCAGAGCTACTTGTCAGCCAAATCCAGCCCTCTCCGTATCTGAGGAAGGGGCTGGACCTGTATCCCCCTGTCCGCTCTGGTAGTTTCATGCAGGGGTGAAGGGGCTGTGTGTCCTTTTCTCAGGCATTGTGTCCTTGCTCTGTCTTTGCTGAACAGCCTTTTAATCTCAGAATTGCCTCTTATTGCTCTCTCTGAGACCTCACTGCCCTGGCTTTCCTCAGAGAGGACTGTGTTGTTTGTGTGACCTCCGCACTAAATGAGGGCTATTCCCACTTCCCTCCCAGACTGAACCTCAGAACTGGTAGTGCTTCATTTTGCTAACACAAGTACTGTATTTGGCTCATTGAGCACGTGACAGGATCGCTCCCTTGTTCCCAAAGAGCTTCCAAGAGGGCAGGGATTACTCAGTATGTGCTGACACCTGCAGCCTTACCCCTTCCTACCACTCTTCTGTCTTCAAAGGGACTGCAGGCTGGACAACTCCAGTCGGGAAGATGCCAAGAGCCATTGGGCTGGCAGGGTTCTGCCCCCCATCTGATACCTGTCCCCCAGTTCAGCCATGTGTGCCCCAAGCCAGGCTGTGCCTCTCTGTACTTTGCACGTCACATGCGGCCGAGCTCCCCGACTACCTCGTGAGGAGGAGGAGGGCAACCACGAGTACCCCGAGCTTGGCCACGGGGTGCATTACCCCATCAGGCAATGCCCAACCACCCAGTGCAGTGTCAGGGTTTGTGACAAGGAGGGGCATTGCCATGGCTTGGGGCCCACGAGCCAGGTGTTGGGGACACGCCAGGGTTTGGCACATCCCCAGCAGGCTGTTGGCCCTGCTGTGCCCTGCTCCTCACAGGCTCCCTAAACCTCCAAAACCCATTTGTTTGTCCGTGTCTTGCTATATTATGTAAGTGCATATAAATCTACATTACTGTGGGTGGGTGGGGGGCAGCAGAAGGTAGATGTAGCTGTGTACATGCCTATCTATACTTTCACCTTTATGGGATGGATTTTTTTTTTTATTTTATTTGGTGGGTTTAGGATTTTTTTTTTTTTGGGGGGTAGGGAGGGTTGTTTTCTTTTTTTTAAGAAATAAAAAGAAACTGCTTGACTGGTTTCAAGCACCTTAGTGAACCCGTGTGTGGCTGGTGTAATTCTGGGGTGCAACGTGGTGTGCTGCTCTCCTGTCCTGGCAGCTGTGGCTGTGCTCCCACATACAGCAGTGCCTGGGAGTGGTGAAGGTTATGGGTACCCTGGCAGATCCTTGGGTCTTGCCCAAACTTTGATAGGTGTCCCAGCAAATGAGCTGGTGTAGTGCAGCGGTTGTGTTACTGTGATCTCAAGGCAGCAGAGTCTGGTGATTTTGGGGAAGTGGGGGGAGAGAGAGAGGGACTGACTACCCATCCTCAGGAGGGGCTCTTGGGGGTTCAGGCTGGCCAGGGAATGGAGCTGCAAGGCTCAGGCAAAAGAAGGATTGGACTCCAAAGCCCAAGTGCCTGACAGAAGGCTATGGTGTTGCACACAGGCAGTGCTTCATAGGGAGTGGGAAAGAAGTGAGGGAAAAAAGACATGGATGAGCAGCTTGCACTGGCCCAGCTGACCACCTGCCAGCTTGGGACTTGCAAGCCCTGTCCATGCACACCCCCAGCTGTCAGGTGCCAAGGACCCCCAGCAGGGCTGTGCAGGCAGCAGGTACCAGCCCGGTGCCTCTGGATTGGCAGCAAAGAGTGCCAAGGAATTCTCTCCTTTGCTTCTGTTGAAACAAAAGAATAGTCCCAGCCACTTGTAGGAATAAGTCCTGGAACAATCAGACCTATTTCACTCCACTTCTTCAAACTTGGGAACTGATTCCCCTATCAGTATAATCAGAGGATGGGGAAGAATTTAATCTCGTTCAAATAATGTTATCAATCATGTAGCATCAGGCCCCACCTTGCTTCACCCGATGGCTGTGTTCACTCAGCTGCCTGCAGCACGTGCCCCATGCCATGACCAGGTGTCTGCCCGCCCACACTCTGTCCAGGGCTTGTCCATCAGCACCCCAGCACCCGCCCTGATGCTGCCACTTGGCACCCCGCAGCAGGTGAGTGCACCAAGGAGAAATTCGGGGCCTGTGACATAACCTGGAGTACTGCATTAGCATGGCCATGTGGGGCCCAGCCCATCTTGGGCAGCTCCTTGCAGGTGCCAGGCCACATCTCATGGGCACACTGCTCCTGGCTCTGAGCAGTGCCAGCTGCTGCCCAGATCTGCTGTGCTGGCACAGAGCTGGGCTTCGGCCATGGGAGGCTCAGTTTCAGCTGATACCTGTGTCACAGTACCCAGGTGCAGGGGATGGGAGTGGGCAGTGGTTCTCCACGCTCTCCCTGGGGTTTGGGCCAGCAGAGGCTGGAACAGGTCATCACATCAATGCTAACTGTGGTGCAGAGCTGCTCCATGGCCTGAGACTGGCAGCATTGGCCTGCTGGCATCTCAGAAGGATCAGCTCTGTGGATAAAGTGGGGCAACAGAGTGTATAAAAAAGGCATTTTAGTATAAATAGCCACTGTCAGGCTCCCTCACCACCTGTGGTGAGTGAAGGGTTTCGTGTGAACACTTAACTCTGGCCGTGTGCTTGCCAGGGCAGAGTTATGAATGAATTTTTCCACTCCACATTAAACCACATCTGAGGCTGCTTGACTGGTATCTGGCTTCAGCAGGCCACATTTCAGGATATAAACAGTTTACAGAGCAGCCTTCTGTTGGCCTCTGCTTGTGAAATAAAGAGCCAGACCAGCCCTTCTGCTGTGTTTGCATCACCCCTCTCCGGCCACCCACAGTCCCCAGGCTGCCACAGCCCCAGCACAGGCACAGGAGCAGGATCAAGCTGGCAGCTGCCTTGCTTGAGATTGGGTAAGAAATTCGGGGCACTTCCTGATGGCATCTACCACTGAACCCTTTCACCTCTGTAGCCCTAAAATACACCCTGCCCGCCAAACTTGCAAGTGTTTGCAAAGTTAAGGTAGCCAGAAAACCCTCTTACGCTTCCCAGCCCATCAAGGGACTGAGCAGCCACTGGGCTGTGACTCCCAGAAGCAAAACACAGCTCATGAGAGGTATGTAAAGTGTCTTTTTTTTTTTTTTTTAAGCAGATGAAGAGAGCTGCCCTGACCCTTCCTCTCTGGATCAGTCTTGCCATGCTTTGCAAATCATTCCCCGGCTCAAGCTCTTTTAAACATTCTGGAGCACTCTGTACAAGCCAAAGTTTTATTTGTTTCATAAACAAGTAAAATTATATTAATGTAAAACAGGTAAATGGACAAAAGTAAAACACACAGCACTGAACACAACGCTATAGAGTACTGACATGTAGAAGTGCAGTTCCCCCCCTCGTGCGATGCCCTCCCTCCCCCGGTCCCCCAGATGATTTGCTTGAAAAGCCTAATACAGAGGTCCAAAATCTGATTCAGCTTAAACAAGATGTACAGGTCACAGTATTGAATCATAAAGGTAACGACAAGAGAGTAACTGTCTCAGAAAGGGGGAAAGTAAAAGAGTTCCCCAATCTCATCTCTTTCTTCCTTCCTTTCTTCCTTTTTTTAAATTTTTAAACAAAGAGGTTAAGGAGGAGAGGGGGAAAAAAATCCATGGAAATAAACACTTTTTCACTCCAGTATATATATATATATATATATATATATATATACATACATATATATATATATATATATAAAGCAGGATTCTCAGTGAACACAAAATTCTAAAAAACTACCATTGATCTGTGCTGTTTTCTCCCCCCATCTTTTTTTTTTTCTTTTTAAAAGTTGCTTTAAAAAGGATAAAAAGTGCACAGACACCCTTATAAGGCACAAACAGATCTTCTGTACAAATAATATATCATTGGACTGTTTAAAAAAAATAGCAATACGAATACTAACAATTAAATCTGAAAGAGGCTACCTTTTCCCAGACATTTTTTTTTTTTGAGGCCTATTTTGGAAAATTCCCATTGCTCTCAGATAGGCAGGGTGACACATCCACTGCTCTCACGTCCTGTTTGCTGCTCAGCCGTGCTCCAGACACTGTCTGAGCTGGTTCCCTTGCTGGCATCATTGGGTGCTGCCCTTCTGGAAACTGGTCTTGGCTGCTACAGCAAAAATTCAGCCTGTGCAATGTGTCCTGAACAGCTCAGGCCCAGCCTGGGGTGGATTTGGTATTTCTCCTTGCTGGCTTAAAAATACAAAAGAGAGCTAAACCAAAATAAACCCCACCCCAGGCGTGCACCAATCCTGCTCACTGAGGACCTGAGGTGCCGGCCAAGCAAATGGACTCTGCTCTGCTGGTGTGGCTGTGCAGTGACCAAAGGGACTGGGCACCCCTGCAACCAGGACAGCAGCCCTGGGAATGGCCACTGGTGCTCACAAGCCCAGATCTGATCCAGGCTGGCATCGCTCGCAGTGAGTGGATTCTGACAGCTTTCCTTGATTTCCTCAAGATGCAAAGGCTTCCCACTGCAGCCTGTCCCCAGGCAGGCACTGACCTGCCTGGCCCTTCATCCCATGCTGACATACCCTGCCATCATCATGCCTTTGGTGCTGTGCCCACCCACCGCAGCCAGACCCTGATCTGCCAGTGTGGCACCCGGGAGGTCTCTAGGAAGGCAATGCCTGGGCAGAGGGCAGCCAGGAGGTCCAGGCAAGGCTCCAAACGCAGGGAAGCTGCCCTTGCTACCTCCTTCAGTAAAGGTATGAGTGAACTCGTGCCGCAATTGTGGTGCGAGTGGCTCTGCTGAGGGCTGAGCACACTCAGCAGTGGCACAGCCAGCGCCATCAGCCAGGTTTCCAAAAAGGGCTCTGCAAAGTCAGTGGGCCCTTGTGCTGATGCAGCAGGGCAATGGCTGAGAGATCTCACTCTAGAGCAGCCTCTCATTTATACACTTAATTAAAATGTTCATCAGTTCTTAAAATTAAAAACAAAAGGTTTCCCCGTGCTCTGTGAACTGGCAGGCACAGCCCACTGCAGGAGGAGAATGAACTGCTCTCCTGGGTGTGCTCTCCACAATGGCAGCACAGGGCTGGCTGCTGGTCAGTAACCAAATACAGCTCTCCTGACACAGCCAAACCACCACCTGGGCAGCAGCACCAGGAGAGGGCTGTGCACCCACAGCTACCTGCACCTTGGAGGAGAGAGGAAATGGCCAGGCGAGATGACAGGCACTGACAACCTCAGGCTGCCCCTCTGTGCCCAGAAGCCCTGAAATGTACAGGAGTTGCTATTCTGCTTTTTCTTTTTCGGACTAAAATTGCACCTTTCTGAAAAAGCCGTTCTTATGCACTTGGTAGCACACGGTCACCGAGCTGCAATACCAGCCCCTCTCTCATCCTCCCATTTGCATCCTCTCTCTTTTTCCCTCTTGGACCAGCTGGAAGCTGGTCAGGCTCAGGCTGAAGGACTGGACAGGGGCTGTGCAAGTGGGCAGAGGGCAGAGGACAGAGAATGGAGGGTAGCTCCTAATGCAGCAGCAGGGAGGAGGACACTAAGCTCCTCACACCAGTCCCGGTGCTGCACACTCAAATGCTGCTCAGCTCATCCAGCTGCTGCCTGTAGCTGTAACATCACACCTGAAACCCATTTACCTTTTAAGTCCCAACATCTACTAATAGCCCCAGAGCCTTTTTCTTTCCTACTCCTAAGTAAAGCCAAGTGAGATAGATCCCTGTTTTTCTCAACAAGTTCTCATCTAGTGTTGAGACCCAGCTGTGCTGGAAAACTGGGAAAGGCAGGAGAAAGACCAGGTAAGATCAGCACATACACAGTCCTCAGAAAAAAGGTGAGCCTGCTGGGACTGGATCAGAAATTAATTTCTCACCACAGGCTCCAAAAAGTCCCCTTGGTGGGGCAGGAGGAAAGCTGAGCCCTGGCACTGGCTGTGGGGGAAGGTCTAGGACAGGTCTAGCCAGGCAGGATGGGGTAACATGGCAGCTGTGCCACCTGCCAAGAGGGCAGAGCAAAATGCAGGTGTGTGTGCCTG